TTTTGTGTAATGTTTGGACTTAGTTGCTGATTACAAAGGATCACTATACAGGGATCAAAACAGTGCTCAATTTGCGTGTCATTTCACAGTAAATATTGAAATATGTGACTGTACGACAAAAATTATACAAATAATACACACCATGATTCACTTAAGAAATGCAATAAATTTGACCAAATGAAATTCTTCAAAACCATTTTTTACACCCCATTAACTGTTTTTTGGTGCCACTCTCAATCTCAAGGCTCGTCTGGCCATTTTGAATGCCAGTGCGCATAACAAATAAATGGATGTTACATAGTTTGCTCAGGAAAATTGAAGCTGAACTATTCTTGCAGTGTTGATTGTGTTTAGGAAATCTGGCTCTCATGTTTACAGGTTTACATGATGTTTACTGATTAATTAAACAATAAATTGAAATTACAGTTGTTGCGATGTCTTAAGTTTAAAAGGATCATCAAGAATTATGGGGATGCCTATTTTCACACATAAATTCACAAATACAATTATCTCTCTGTCGACAAAATGGCACCCTTCAAAGAATTGCATGTCTATCCCTGCTATTGGTTACCCTGGTTACCAGGTGAATATTCCAAATGAAACAAGTACTAAGGCAAACATCACAGCTTGGAAATCCATTACAGTTAAAAAACTCATCCTTGCAGATGAGTGCTTAAACAACATTTTAGTTTACTGATGCTTACAATTTGTGGACTTTCTCTATTTGAGGAGCTCAGTTATTTTTTTAAAATAGAAAACTTCTTAACAGTATTCTGAAAGATAATTGCAGAATTATATTTCTGGAGAAAAGGCCCTCACCCACTACTTGAAATTCAAATGGTTACTCCATTAAATCTCATCAAAACATTCTCTAAATTCCTAGTAGGAATTAAGTACCTGTAATAGAATGAAAATTTGACAAGACCTTTCTACCTATATAAAGTCATTGACATTGGAATTGATAGAAGGTTGTGGAAAATCGTGACTATGTAATGAGGAGTTGCCAAAAATTTGAGTTAAGAGCCAATAAATTGTTTTTTAATGAACTTGCATCAAACCAGCTGGTACAGTTTCCCCCTCTTTAACATTTATAATCATGTTAACAACAGACAGATGTATGACTGTAGGACAAGATGAAATCTGTTGATCTTTTCTACCCCCCAGCATATAATGCAGGGGGAAATAGTCAACACCTTCTCTGTCTCTCCATCCATCTGTAATCATTTCGTTTCCAGAGCATAACTAAAAAATCGTTCAATATTTTCAACAATATTTGGCAGATATATATCATGGAATAATAAGTCATGCAAAAATTCATTATCAATTATTACCACTACAAGTGATATATTAGGATTCAAATATTAGGAAAATATAAATATAGAATATTAGTTAAATCATGATCAGTAATAGTTCAGAGAAAGACTCCAGTCGAAAGTAATAAAAACAATATCTGAATATAGACTGGAAAGTCTCAAAAAGGAGCGGATTTTGTTTCCGGAGCATAACTCAAAAACTGCTGAATATCTATCAATAAAACTTGGCAGATATCCCAAAGTGGTGCCTTTCGCTACTTGTGGATTTTTGGTATTTTTATTGTTTTTGTTTTCTTTCCATGGAAACAATTTGAACTTGCTTTAAAAAGGATTGGAAGGGGATTTCATTTCCAGAGCACAACTTGAAAACCATGAAAGGTATTTCATCCCAACAAGGTACATGTATTAACCAAGAGCTGAAGAGGGGCCTTTTCCTATTAAGGAATTTTCCAAAATTGGATTTTTCAATGTTTCCATGGAAACAAGTGAAACTTGGCTGAAATGGAGATAGGTGTCGTTTCCACGGCACACAACGCAAAAATATAGTTCAATATCTTTCAACAAAACGTGGCAGAAATATGAAATAGATTTTGAAGTGGTGCATTTTGCTATTTGCAGATTATTGGCATTTATATTTTTCTTGATTACCATGAAAATGATTTGGACTTAGTCTCAAAAGGGTATGATTTTGTTTGTAGAGCGTAGACAGCTCCAAAAAAACTTTGTTTAGACACTTTTCATCCAAACTGGGGTCATATATTAACCGAGGGCTGAAGTGGTACCTTTTGCTATTTGGGAATTTTAAAGGTCACATGCAACGTAAAACTCAAACTTTGCAGATTCTGATACCTTTCGGTATGGACTTACAGTAAAAAATTGTCAAAAATGCAAATTCATCTTATAAGTTGAAAAATAACGCAATGAAAAAACCCCGCGAAATCTGAGTTCAAACACTTCACTAATTTCACACCAGCGCTGGGGTGAAAAGTGGTTTCAACAACTGTGATTAGGTTCGCGCAGGTTGAACCGGGAAGTCGACTCGTAAAAACACAGCAAGTGATGCGTGCAAGGATTATCGCTGTGGTCGAAGTTGCAGAACAAAAGATGTTTCTTGTGGTTACAAGCATCTTGGGTCTGCAGTAATAAAAATACACTGGTGCCATACTTTTTCTCATATGTTTTCACATCTTGCTTTTGGGGGGTTGGCAGATTTGCAAACCAAGTTTTCAAGACTTGCATAGCTTGAAAACTGAAATGTTTTAATACATGTCTATGGAAACAGAAAAATATGTTGATTGTGATAAGCAGTCTCAGTCACAGACAAAACTCAATGTCTGTTTTAATGACACCTGTCTGCTAATGACAATATGCAATACACAACTTTGATCACTGACCACATGCACTTTGAACTTAACACCTATCAGGCTATACACCATAAACAAAATACATTGATTTATGGCTCGTGCCTCTGAGTTCTGTCTCTGTCACATTATGTAATTACACAGACAGGCAGGTGTGATACCTGTACACATGACATGGTATTATGTCTGTGGGTTGCAAACAAACTACATCCATTTTTCTCGGATGACTAGATCGGATGGAAACCGGTGCAAACTCAGATTGTCAGTTTCAAGTCCTGCTTTATACTTGGATGAACGACAGTTTCCAGCCTCGCAGTAGTTCACCATGTCAGTATTTGTTGATTGGATCTAACACAAATGCAGAAAAATGAGCATGTATTTACAAAACCCAACATCTCTATATACACACACACAATGAGCCATCAGGGTATCGGCAAATGAACCAGCCAATGAAAGGCTTCGTTAAACTTGAGTGCATACCCACCCGCTCTGACTGGGTTCGGTATCCCAGATGCTTCATTTCGAGGGAAGTAAACCCAAGTACAAAATATTGATTTGCGATTTTGTACGCTTATAATTTTGTTTATATGTTTTTCATAATCAGCAATGTATCTTATATGTCATGAATAAGTGATAATTGTGTTTTAAGTATGTTTGTTTTTTTGGTTGCATGTGACCTTTAAGAAAATGAATTTGTACTGTCCATGGCAACAAGTTTAGTTTGAGTCTGTAGTCTGTATGTATGTGTGTATGGAGCTGATGTAGGATGTTACATGTGCTTCAGGTACAAGTGATGATTCTGTCAGCTGTATTCTGTATGTATGTATGGAGCTAGATGAGTGATGTAGGATGTTACATGTGCTTCAGGTACAAGTGATGATTCTGTCAGCTGTATTCTGTATGTATTTATGGAGCTAGATGAGTGATGTAGGATGTTACATGTGCTTCAGGTACAAGTGATGATTCTGTCAGCTGTATTCTGTATGTATGTATGGAGCTAGATGAGTGATGTAGGATGTTACATGTGCTTCAGGTACAAGTGATGATTCTGTCAGCTGTATTCTGTATGTATGTATGTATGGAGCTAGATGAGTGATGTAGGATGTTACATGTGCTTCAGGTACAAGTGATGATTCTGTCAGCTGTATTCTGTATGTATGTATGGAGCTAGATGAGTGATGTAGGATGTTACATGTGCTTCAGGTACAAGTGATGATTCTGTCAGCTGTATTCTGTATGTATGTATGGAGCTAGATGAGTGATGTAGGATGTTACATGTGCTTCAGGTGCAAGTGATGATTCTGTCAGCTGTATTCTGTATGTATGTATGTATGTATGGAGCTAGATGAGTGATGTAGGATGTTACATGTGCTTCAGGTACAAGTGATGATTCTGTCAGCTGTATTCTGTATGTATGTATGGAGCTAGATGAGTGATGTAGGATGTTACATGTGCTTCAGGTACAAGTGATGATTCTGTCAGCTGTATTCTGTATGTATGTATGGAGCTAGATGAGTGATGTAGGATGTTACATGTGCTTCAGGTCCAAGTGATGATTCTGTCAGCTGTATTCTGTATGTATGTATGTATGGAGCTAGATGAGTGATGTAGGAAGTAACATGTGCTTCAGGTCCAAGTGATGATTCTGTCAGCTGTATTCTGTATGTATGTATGGAGCTAGATGAGTGATGTAGGATGTTACATGTGCTTCAGGTCCAAGTGATGATTCTGTCAGCTGTATTCTGTATGTATGTATGTATGGAGCTAGATGAGTGATGTAGGATGTTACATGTGCTTCAGGTACAAGTGATGATTCTGTCAGCTGTATTCTGTATTCTGTAGTCTGTATGTATGGAGCTAGATGAGTGATGTAGGATGTTACATGTGCTTCAGGTACAAGTGATGATTCTGTCAGCTGTATTCTGTATTCTGTAGTCTGTATGTATGGAGCTAGATGAGTGATGTAGGATGTTACATGTGCTTCAGGTACAAGTGATGATTCTGTCAGCTGTATTCTGTATGTATGTATGTATGGAGCTAGATGAGTGATGTAGGATGTTACATGTGCTTCAGGTCCAAGTGATGATTCTGTCAGCTGTATTCTGTATGTATGTATGTATGGAGCTAGATGAGTGATGTAGGATGTTACATGTGCTTCAGGTACAAGTGATGATTCTGTCAGCTGTATTCTGTATGTATGTATGGAGCTAGATGAGTGATGTAGGATGTTACATGTGCTTCAGGTGCAAGTGATGATGCTGTCAGCTGTATTCTGTATGTATGTATGGAGCTAGATGAGTGATGTAGCATGTTACATGTGCTTCAGGTGCAAGTGATGATGCTGTCAGCTGTACACTCATGTTGGAGATCCTCAGGGCTTTGTCTCAGAGGAAAACACCACTGGTGCATAACATCGTCTTCCTCTTCAACGGAGCTGAGGAAAACATCCTACAGGTACTGTGTACATTTGTCTTTTCTTTGTATTATTTATGTATTTATCAGGGCTACAGATAAGGGGCGTACAGGCGTAATGTACGCCTCAAATCAATTAAGTACGACATAATATAAGATTTCAAGCGTATCGTGTACGCACATGAATAACTTTGTACGTCTAACATTTAATTTCCGTGCGTATCGTGCAAATGGAAATCTATTTCGGATAAATACTTGTCAAATTTTTTTTGCGAAACATGATTTGACACATGAGGAAACCCCGACAGTAGGAATCACTTGCGTTGCCATGCGACGATATGCGTCACTATTTTTCGGCTAAAAACTACACTGTTCCTATTTATATCCAGTCGGACCTGACATTTCGCGCATCACACGGTCGCTCAGTTATTTCTCACGCATTTTCAAATACAAATACATGGTTGGAAATAGTGATTGATGAATTGTCCAGACAAACCAAATCACCAACTCGCTCACACAAAAACATGTCAGTACTCCTTCAAAATTCTCAGTACACCTCCACTTGCAATATGATGTGTAAGTACACTCACACCTCCAAAAGTTATCTGGAGCCCTGATTTATTATTTGAATAAATTGAGGAAAACATCCTACAGGTACCATGTACATATTTCATCTTCACTATGGTTTTATTCATGCATTTATTTCAGTTAGTATGGCTTCTAGTTGTTGACATGATACTATTCACACTTGGGCTGTTATGACTCAAGTGTTCCACTAACATTCGCATAGAAGACGGAGATAAGCAAAGATCATGAGTCAGGATAAGTATAAAATATCAATTTTACTTTAAAAATTACATGTTTCAATAATGAGCACTAGAATCAAATGTGTTTACAACAACAAAATTTAACGGGGTTTTCTTCGCTTGAATTCCTCTGTTGTTTATCGAAAGGTGACATGTCAAATAACATTTTGTTGTTGTTTAGCCATTGATGACTTTCTATTGTGTTCATAAAAAGGTATTTCTATTCAGTTCGCTATATTTATGATGTATGTTGTTTGCATGTGCATGTATGTGTATGTATGTGCATGTATGTATGTGTCCATCTGTATGTATGTACATAAACAAAGTTATGACTATTTTATTCACTTTTGTATTTTATATGTATTTTATATTTATCAAGTAACAAGTGTCTCGTAGGCCAAGTTGGCCGGGTGCTGTATCTTCATATGTCCACAGCATGTGACACGTCTTTAATAAAATAATCTATTCATTTCACTATATTTATGATATATGTTGTTTCCTCCTATTGGATTCCGTACAGCTCTAATTTACACCTTGTTCTTAGTGTCAACTGATGCTACTGAAGACCATAATGGCGTACTAGAACACCATGACCAAGGTGGTGAATGTTTTAGTCATTGATGTCACTTCCTACACTTTAGGGGATTGTACGTGGCTAGAAGTAAACGCCACTTTGGAATGAAGGACAGGGCACAATAAACACTAAGCAGTGGTAAATGGTGGGATGTCCAACCATCTGTGTACAGCTAATTCAGAACCCTGAATGCCTGACGGAATTTGTATGTTCCCCCAGTAAACTGTGCTGATTCAGGATCCAAGATGCGTGAGTGAATCTGTGTGGTTTCCCGTAAAGTGATTGACTAATATCTGACCTGTGTCACTCAGTATCTGATGGGCCTTTTCCGTTACACATGACCTGATCAGTGAGGTTGATCATTGTAACCATGGTAACAAGCAATCTTATGTGCTATTGTTTTGTGCTACATGAGTATACAGTTGCTCAGTTGATTTGGAGTGAGTATGGTTTTACGCCGCTTTAGCAATATTCCAGCAATATCACGGTGGGGGACACCAGAAATGGGCTTCACACATTGTGCCCATGTGGGGAATTGAACCCGGGTCTTCAGCGTGGCGAGCAGGCGCCTTTAACCTTTAGGCTACCACACGCACTCCTCACTTAAGGGACCGAGTTGATTTGGAAGGATCTGGAAGAGTCTACTCACTCACTCCCACTCACTCATGTTTCGTTTTTAAATATTTAAATAAATGACACCCCTCCTACCTTCCCAGAACAAAATGGGTGACCCCCTCAAAAATCATCATCATTCTTTCTCCTCCCTTCTTCCCCAAAAAAAAATAAATAAAATAAATGTTTTAATTAATTAATATATAAATAAAAAAAATAATAAATCATATAAAAAAGGCCTTAAATTACGATCGGTCCCTAACAGTAACATGCTGGATGCTCTGACCCAGACGTTAAACTGAAAGTGCTTGTGGTATGCACAGGACATTCCGTCTGTGTTGCTTTCAGTTTCACACCTATGGACAGTGCTAAGTGAAGAGCACACCTTTACTCACCTTCCCATGACTCTTACTCTTATTTTTATCCTGTGATTAAATCAAACCTTAAAATATGCTCCATTACATTGTGTGGCAGAAAATAGTCCTCCATGATAACACCTCAGGCATGCCCAAACACAGAGGCCATGACCATACCAAATGATGGAACAGTCTTTGCATTCTTAGGTGTTGGTGATATCATATACATCCACTGTTACGACTGGGGTTTTTTTTAACTTAGGCTAGCAGTGCTGAACCCAGGTTTTTTCTATAGTTACAAATAATTGCAAGAACCTTTCTATATCAGCTTCAAACAGGTGGTCACACTAGGCACTGACAGATGTGATGCAGTTGTGTGTTTGTAGTGTGGTGCCTCTGTGACATCAGATGGTGCTGGTACTATCATTCATGGACGAAAGACTTCTCATTCTTCCTGAAATAAAATTTTATCAACATTAAATTAGTGTTGTCTATATTTTCACTTCAAAGTTTGTGTCATGTTTTCATTCAAAAATGTTTAGTTAACTTATGTATGTACATAGTGTTAGTGTTATATGGTGGTCCTTGTGATCAAGAATACCGGTAAGTGCATATTTGCTGATGGAGCATGACACAATATTCACTCACCAACTCACTACATCCTAATTTGTCATGCTAGATCCTTGGTTTGGATCCCAGAATCACCCCAATTATGATCCATGTCATGTAGCACCACAATAAAAAGTCATCTGTGGTCTTCATTAGTTTAAATTTCTTCCTCATTAAGGTTGTGATATTAGCATTGATGATATCGACAAAAACGCCATTACTTGCAGTACAAGCTTTCTTTCAGGCAAGTCATGGATTCATCACACAACACAGATGGGCAGACAAGATCAGGGCATTTGTCAATCTGGACTCGGCTGGAGCTGGTGGCTGGGAGCTGGTCTTTCAAACAGGTAGTCACAACTCAGACAGACATATCTCTTTACACAGCCCACCATGCATTCAATCTTAGGCTAAAATGAAAACTCTGAATATGTTGTCCTGTACCAACTGAAGATTTGTTTACCTTTATGTACGTTTGTAGTTGACCAGTGTACATTGAGACCATGTTACAGATTATGCCTGTTGTTTCAAAGATGGCCCACTGCTAAGTGGCAGTGTTGACAGGGATGGGATTTGTCAGCCCTGTGTCTTCCAGGTATTAGAGGATAGTTCAAGTCCCTTTGTGTGATAACATCATGGGTGCCAGTTTGTGAGTTGCGGGTTTCTTTTAAGCATTTTATGAAGAACATTCTTTGTGCTTGGGTTTAGGTGTTGATGGTGTATCACAGAAACAGTGTAGACAGTGAACGGCTGACTTATAAGTATTGTACCTGGGTATCTGTTACAATGTATATCCCAGTTTCACTTGTTTTCGGCGACGTAACACCGATTCGTGGTACATATGTAATTATGCTACTGTAATCAAAATATTTTACATTCAAGACAAAGTACGTTAGCCAGGTGTTTTCTCTTTTGTATGATTCTCTACCGGCTTCATTGGTTGAGCAAGGCCGCCAGGACCGTAATGTTCCATATTTGGCAACTTGAGCAATACTTCACCAGTTTTCAGTGATCACGTTATACACAAAAAATAACTATGGTGTTCCAATGTTGAGATATTTCATCAAGGCAAATTTGTGTCTTCAAGTCACTTGTCAAACTTTAAGAGTTAAATTAAAATGTCAGTTCAACATTTTCAAACACAAATAACGATGAAATCCAAATTTGTTATGTACACTGTTGATGACAGTTTATGAATGCAATTCACTCTTCCACTGGGCTTTGGTCACAGTGGGCACAGAAAAATGCTGCATGTGTATGAACAACTGTGATACTGGTACAAACGACTATAACACTTCCATCTTTTACACTGTTCTGTGATGTCACTGATGCCACATTTCACCAGAACAATAGTTAAATATTACATCCCGTATCCATAATTCTGACAATCAGTTTGTAGAAAAATGTCATTGAAGCTGTTTATAACTTGTTAATCAGCACATTCAGAACAGAACAGAACAGAATTTTATTTCAGTAACAGGCCTCCGGCCCAAAATACATGTACATAAATTGATGATAAGTAGAGCACATATATATTTCATTTAGATTTGTGTTTCTTGTCAACAAAGTATAAAAATAGACATACATCCTTGATAATATTAACATTTTTACTCTGTAATATTGATATAAAATTAATAATTGATGGGTTAATCAGCACATTCGATGCTATCGAACTAGGCACCCTATTGTGATACACCGCTGGAAACTCACATCACTTAACAAAACCTAAATGTTGAGAAATGCTCCTGCTCAAAACTCAGTAAACTGTTTCTAGACACCTGTGATACTATCAGACAGGGGACGTGACACCTGCCTGTACCGGGGTAACAGGGAGTGGATGACTCACCAATGGCTACACAGGCAGTGTGACCTTCCGTCAGTTATCAGTAGCAGAGCTAACAATTGTAGTGAGAAAGAAATAGTTCATCTGTACATTATTATTCCACATTTAAGGTGAAAATAGTTGGCAAGTCTAGATTACTGCAGTTCTGAAAATTAAGAAAGTTTCCGAACTGTTTTTTTTCTTTATATTTTATTAAAATATGTTTACAATGTGTTTTTCTGTAAAGTGTTTGTATTTCAGTTACTAGATGTTTGTGTATAGAGAAAGCATAGAGAGAGGAACAGTATGTTAGAGCCCCTTCAGATTCACTCCATCCCTGTCCCTTACCATTTTGCATGCATCAGTACCCCATACCTACTTCTATCATGGAAGCAGCAACAAGTGGCCAGACAGGTTCAGTGCTTGTTCGTCCAAAATGGTTCATTGCTCATGCCCTCAATGGGGCGGTGGGGTAGCCTAATGGTTAATGGTTATCCTTTTCTCATGCTGACGACCTGGTTTCAAGTCCCCACATCGGTACAATGTGTGAAGCCAATTCTGGTGTCCAGTATTCACTCATGCAGTCAACCACTCGTGTGACTAGTCAAGGCGTGAATTTTAGCAGATGGCCATGATACATTGCTGACTGAGGCATAGAAAACACCCCCACCCCTTTTGTATTGTGATATTGTGTTCCTGTTTTGTTTAAGAAAATAATTTTAAAAAAGTAGTTTTCAAATTACATGGTTTTGCCTTCTATGTGTAACCATGGTAACCCCTGCTATAGGTCCAGAGCATCCTTGGCTGGTTAGAGCATACGCTGACTCGCCAAGTATCCCTGTGGCTCAGCAGTCTGTCAGGAGATCTTCCAGAGCGGACTTGTCCCATCAGACACCGACTATCGAGTGTTTCGGGATTACGGCAATATCCCAGGTGAGTTGGCAGCAACCATGGCGACAGTGGTGATCTCTCACTCTACAGAAGACAGAACTTCTTTAACCATTTTTATGTCCTTTTACAAACTTAAATATATATGTCATATATTGATCTTGGTTAACATTAAATACTTTTATATATGAAATTTACTCCAGTATTTTTATCATTTTTTGAGGTAATGTGAAACTTGGTGTGCATGCTGTATAGTGGATTTACACAAGTTGTACACATTAGTTTTTGCATTTTAGTACCTTGAAGGTACAAAACTATTTCATTCCTAAACAAATATATGTCAACAATAAAAACTTCACAGACTGTTTATTTACTCATTAACAAACAAAATAATCAGTAGACAACACTAGTCAGTGACATCATTCAGCCCAGTAATCAAAACAAGGCCGAGCCCAATCTTCAGTCAGTCAGGAAACAGTAGTGCATCTGCATGTTGTGCGTGTCTCATATAGTTTTATTCAGTTATGAAGACATTAGTACAAAGTAATTGGCTTGTTCAGTGAAACGTCACAAATTCACTCATTATCCTTGCCAGTTATAACAGAAATAGACGTCATATATTAATAATGATAAAGCATAATGAAAGAATTTATTATTGTTAAATAATGAATGCTCAAGCCATGTAATTTTGGAAACTGCATGTGAATCCAGTGCTTCTAATAGTGAATGTCAAGACAGTCTGCTTCAGATCGTGAATGTCAAGACAGTCTGCTTCAGATCGTGAATGTCAAGACAGTCTGCTTCAGATAGTGAATGTCAAGACAGTCTGCTTCAGATCGTGAATGTCAAGACAGTCTGCTTCAGATCGTGAATGTCAAGACAGTCTGCTTCAGATCGTGAATGTCAAGACAGTCTGCTTCAGATAGTGAATGTCAAGACAGTCTGCTTCAGATCGTGAATGTCAAGACAGTCTGCTTCAGATCGTGAATGTCAAGACAGTCTGCTTCAGATAGTGAATGTCAAGACAGTCTGCTTCAGATCGTGAATGTCAAGACAGTCTGCTTCAGATAGTGAATGTCAAGACAGTCTGCTTCAGATCGTGAATGTCAAGACAGTCTGCTTCAGATCGTGAATGTCAAGACAGTCTGCTTCAGATAGTGAATGTCAAGACAGTCTGCTTCAGATCGTGAATGTCAAGACAGGCTGCTTCAGATCATGAATGTCAAGACAGTCTGCTTCAGATCATGAATGTCAAGACAGTCTGCTTCAGATAGTGAATGTCAAGACAGTCTGCTTCAGATAGTGAATGTCAAGACTACTATCTTAAGTGACATCATTTGGATATTTTTACAAATGATATAATGCAAAACTATTTATTTAAGATAAAATGAAAAGTTAGTTATGCTTATGGTGAGGGGTGAAAATGAGGAATATTCATTTCCAAAATGATTTATAAAACAGCAACAACCTACTGAGATAGGAACCTGAATGAAACTATAACAGTGTCAGTCTGTCAGTGTATCTAGATCTCTTTGGATTGTTTCTTCTAATGGCGTAATCCTGTCTTTCACTTCCAACATCACTCAAGATATGGCCTTCTTATCTCTTGAACAGGAAATAGTTCAATGTTCTTGTCCCTGTACTTTGAGCCAGATCATCCAAACTGGGACATAAGGAAGGTGGTGTGGAAAACTCAGATGAAATGCGTTACCATGGAAACCTGCTGGGGAATATTTGTGAGGAGATTTTGTATCAGTGTTGAATGTTTTTTTGCTGCTTCATCAAGTTTAATGATGATGTCAGTGATTTCAATGGTTTATAGCTGTTTGTGGCTGGTTTAGACAGTGTCATGCGAACTAGTGACATGAGACATAGGGACATGACACTATTAACAACACCATCAAGATACAATATGGCTGACATTACCAGCTGATTAAATGCTTGTTCCACTATATTTATGAGATACATCAATATTTTACTGGGAAGTAAATACGGCAAACACATCATGAACGTCATTGTGTGAAATAAGGGATGCTTGAGATACTGAAAGGGCAGGGGTCCTAGTGGGGTAGTGCCAGTGATACCTGAAACAAAGGATGAGATAGAATAAAGGCCATGTGCATTTTAATGTTGCACAAAATTATGCCTGATAAATCATCTCCTTTCCGTGCTAAAGTGACAAGTTTGATACTTCTTGTATGATTAAACAAATGAGGCATACAATGAGTGGAAAAGGCTGATTTTTTTAGCTTTAAGAGAAAATCTGAGTACATGTATGAGTGAGTCTGTGACCAAAGATGATTTCTATTATTATCCTTTACATATTTATTCTGTTGGGTGTTTTTTACATCTAAGAAGATGATCAGTTTGGGTTACAGAACTGATCATGTTCAAATGCTTAAACATTATTTCCTTAAAACCTATTTAGTTAGCCTTTTAGACAAACTTTCGTCTTTCTAATGTATTTAATATGGTTATGAGTACCAAAATATCATTCTTGAACTGTTGAAAGTTTTGGTTATGGTTCTAACATTGTTATGACCAATTGTTGTGTCTTTCACTGATAACAGTGACAATATTTATAAAGAGACATTACTTCTTATTTTCACATTATTGAAGTGATTTTCAGAAAATAAGAACTTTATAGAAAATTCCTATTTTTCCTTATCCTGACTCATGCTCTTTTGCTTGTCTTCTTCTTCTTGCGAACATAGTGGAACACTTGTATCTCCTTATTTGAAGCCCCTTCAAAATAAAATCACTAATTGGTACTCACCACGAGTTGCTCCCCTTTGCTTCCCCTGGCGGAAAGGTGTCGCCACCCTCTGGCCATGTGCTTCACTCTCTCCTTCTTAAGCCCAGTGAGCAGGATGTGAGAGCCTTGTGTCTCCTTACACACCATATCCTTTGATAATCTCTTAGTTTTTACCTCTCATAGGTTACTATAGAGGTATAGCTAGTATCCTTTACTATTTACTGAAGGACCTAGATGTACAGCCTTTCGCTAAGGCCTTCCAGCGAAGGCGGGAGAGATCATCACCATCTTGATTTCATCTCTAGATATGGACTCAGACCATCAGACATCCACGGAAGCCTTCGCGAAGGTCATATCATCGATCCCCGGACGGACGCCAAATGAAGCTTCAGCGAAGGCATTCGCTGAAAGGACATATGATTCCAGATCTTCATCATCTAGAAGAACATCGAGGGACTGCCGAAGAGCTTCGCCGAAGCTATCAACATTCACCTCACAAGTCTCGAGAGAAGATCATCCCATAGGCGATCTCCACTTCGTTCATCACCAGGTTCGATCACCCGTCAGATCTCCACATAGAAGCGACAAAGTCAACTAGATCGCCACAAACCTCATCAGATATACAGACAGCTACACGCAGTCGAAGAGCATCTACAATTTGTTAATGATGATGGTTTTGAGGATGATGGAGGAATCATATTTTCTGATGCAGAGATCACGGTATTGGATGGTCAATAACCTAGATCTCACATCACCATCTAAAAGTGGCAATACAGCATGAGGCGTATTTGATGAAGGAAGATGATCCAGATGCAATCACTCTACCCCGATCGACCCGATTGCGGCAGTGCCACAGAATCTAGATGCAGCTTTCCAGAAAGCTACGAAAGTTCAGATACCACATCTGCCCAACTTTCAAGCCAAGAAGTTCTCCACGCATAACATGGACTCCTTCTACAAAGGCCCAGGACATCGATGAGAACTATAAGATCATCAGCGATGTAAAGAACAAGATTTACAAGATGGATGATCGCAAGTTGGCTCATATAGAAACCATGGCGAAGGCGATGTTCTTTGGGTTAAATAGATCTAGGACCGATCAATGAGACTCTTATTACTAGATTCCGGGATTCCACGACGGAAGATGATAGAATGATTTATTCTGCCTTACTTATGCAAAGAAAGATCAGCAGTTTTTACGGATCATCTTACATCTGTTTCAGCAGCACTGACCTTAGCTGCGTCGTCAAGGCCTCCTCGCCTCCTGTAATTGGGGGAGAACTTTACAGCCCACTTTATACAGCCCGTGGTCGACAACATCCATCTTTGACGGAGAAATCGACAAAGTCGCCAAGGAAGTCTCTAAGGATTCCAGGGAAGTCCTTATGATTAGATCGATGGACACACTAGCCAGCGCGTCATTAGGTCAGACTTCACAAAGATACTCAGGCAGATCTAAGTTCACGGGCCTACAAAGAGCAAGAGACAGGAAGATAGCCAGCTCTAGAGGTAAAGATTCTTTTAAAATTAAACCCATATGGCAACTATAGAGGAGGATCAGGAAGAGGCAGGACACCCAGAGGTTCCCGCAATTATAGGCGCTGAAACACAGGTTCGAACGACTGGAGTCTTCCACCCCAGCCGTTCCAGTACAGCCAGCTCAAGTGGGTGGGCGCCTCCAACTACACTGGGAAAACTGGGGAATATTGCAAGACCCTTACGTCTCCAACATTCTTCAACACGGATTTCATTATCCCTCTACAGGCCAAGCCTCCGCTGACAATCAAACCCCCAAGTTCGGATTTACAAGCGCCCAACAACTACCAAAGATAAGAGAGGCTGTTTCATCACTCCTATCCAAACAGGCCATAGAAGTAATAGATCAAGCAAACGCGATAGAACCAGGTTTCTACTCCCCAGTTTTCCCTAGTTCCCAAGAAAACTCCACGGAGAAATACAGACTCATCTACAACATGAGCTTTTTCAACAAGAACTATCTACGCAAAACCACCGAGTTTCGCATGATACATTTACCTCAGTTATGCCAGATGATTCGGCCCTATGGACTACATGGGCAGCATAGATCTACAGGATGCCTACCTGCACATCCCCATTCATCCCGATTCCAGGAAATACCTCACGATTTACTCTAGAAGGGCTACATTACCAGTGGAAAGTACTCCCATTCGAATATCATCAGCCCCTGGCTATTCACGAGGCTAACGAAACCGATTATCAAATTTCTACATCGTCAAGGGCTACGCAGTAGCGTTTTACCTCGACGACGGGATACAAGTAGATCAAGATCCACTGCGTCTCAAACTACAGTTAAATTACATCATAAAGCTACTAACACAACTAGGTTGGTTAGTAAACTTCATAAGTCGGACCTAGTACCATCGCAGAGACCTGCAGTTCCTAGGTATTCGATTCATCACAAATCGCAACCGTGATTTTGGTACCAGAAGACCGTTGGCTCAAGATACAGCAGACCATTCCACCAGCTCTACTCTCTCCGTTACCACTGCGACAATGGCAGAGCCTACTAGGTCTTCTCACATCAGCCCAAGACATGACTGTCACAGGCAGATTACAGTTACGTCCCCTACAGGTCCTCATCAGCGACATCTCAGCGATGTACAACCATTCAGTCTACCGAGAAACATCTCAGACCGCATCTACTATGGTGGACCAAGAAATCGAATGTCTGCGAAGGGATTTGTTTAGCAGAGCAGGAATACAAAACCCATCTGTATGTAGACGCTACTCCTCCAAGGTTGGGGAGCTCATCTCACCAACCACCGCGATATCAGGGTTATGGAATCAGCAAGAATGCAAACTCCATATAAACAGTCTAGAAATGAAAGCTGTAATCAACGCCATTCTACATTGGAGCACATTTCTACAAAATGCAGCTTAATGATCCATACAGACAATTCGACAGTGGCGTTCTACATAAACAAGCAAGGCTCAAACGAGATCGATGAACCTTTTGAACCTAAGCTTTCAACTGTTCGATTTAATACAAGATCTAAATCTACATGTCAGAGCAGTGCACATTCCGGAGCCAGAAATATACTAGCAGACGCCTCTCGGCCTCATCTACCATCACCCGACAGAGTGGATGATCAACAGGGAAATTTTGCACAGATAATCAAGCAATTAGGAGCCGCTAATAGACCTATTCGCCACGCAGCGATTCAACAATCAGCTACCGACATTACGTGTCACCAGTCCCAGACCCCAAGCTTGGGCAACGGACGACTAAGTCTATCATAGGAAGGCCTCAATGCGTGCAGCGTTTCGCCGCGCCAGCAATAATACCTCAAGTATTACAGAAAATCAGACAAACACAGAGCCTACAACTCACTTTGAATTGGCTGGCTGGCCGGCCAGAACGCGGTTTCCATACTAATTCAAGAAATCGGTCAACCAACACTGGAGCTACCCAAAGCCCGCCAAAACCTGTTAATTCATCCTCACACCAAACAAGTGCACGGAAACCCAGCAATGTTCCAACTACACGTATGGACTGTATACAAATGTGTTTAAAACAAGAGGATATTCTGCCAGGGCGGCAAAAGCAGTCACGCTTTGCTTTACGTTACTCAACTCAGAATCCTTGTAACTAATGCGGCGACAAGTGGCACAGTTTCGAAAATTATGCAACAAAGAAAGGGTTTACAGCAAGAGAGGCTTCACAACCCTCAAGTGGCAGACTATTTGTGTTACCTACGCCAAAACAAACATTTAAAAGGTTCAACGATATCAACATATCTTGCCGCTTTAGTTCTGTAATCACCATGAGAACGGGTGTCAAATTGACAAGATCTCCAGAGTTACTGGCCTTACTACGAGCTTTCCGATTGGAGGACCAAAAGCGGAAGTTCCACGCTCCCAGCTTGGGATCTGAATGTAGTGTTACAACACCTCACGAGTGAGGTCTATGAACCTTTGGAATCGACAAACTTTGAATTTCTCTCACAGAAAACACTGTTTCTGCTATCGCTAGCCACAGCAGCAAGAATGTCTGAAATTCACGCTCTGGATTACGAGGATACAGTTTGATGACAATCATAACACAGCGCATTCTCGGATTAAGATGGGATTTCATCGCGAAAAATCAACTGCCAGGTCAACCAGACAGATTATTCCACATCCCGGCTATCCTCTATTCTCGGATCAGAAGATACACAAGACCTATCACTGTGTCCGTAAGAGCTCAAAGTTTATTTACGACGATCCAAAACAAGGAGAAGATTTCTCAAACGTTTATTCATCCCTTATAAGCCTCACTGAATCAAACAGAAGTGTCAATGGACCACAATATCTATTTGGATAAGGACTGTCATTCTCCTCAGCCTGCAAGGCAGCAGGCTTGGACCCACCAACAGCATCAAATCCACATGAGATCAGGGCACTGGCCTCTACCCTCGCCCTACACGGTAACTGTTCCTTGAACACGATTATGGAAGGATGCTATTGGAAATCTAACATGGTATTTGCTAATCACTACCTGAGAGACATCACTACAGAAGATGTCTCTGGCATTCACCATTTCGGACCACTGGTCCTCGCTCAGCAACTGACAGTCCCTGCGTGAGGCGTTAAAATATTATCCTCACAAGATTCATATGTATTTTATACATACTCATCTAGCTTATAACTCTACGGAGTTTTAGGGCTATGTATATATGTTCAACTTAAGTATTCAACCTTAAGCATATACTTTGGTATAGTCAATTTCAGTGCCTCTATCAGAGTCACCTATATATATATATATAATTTATATGTATTGTTCAATATATTCATAATGTAATTCCCTTTAATGGCTTTATATAACCTATGGTTTTCTTTATACAGGAAACATCCTAAATCTAAGCCTTCATGAAAGTTCCGTGAGGGATATATTACAGTATATCTATACAAAATCACTAATTATAAATCCAAAGTATTCTGTTACCCACCTCCGTTCCGTGAGGATGCTACAAGCAAAGAGCATGAGTCAGGATAAGGAAAAATATGTAATTTTTAGAGTAAAATTGATATTTTATACTTATCCTGACTCATGAGGTTAGCCTCCCCCCATCCTCCCCACATAACACTTTGGATTTCCCTGTAAATTCAAGTGTTGGGCTCTGCTAAATCAGGAGAGAGTGGAGCACATGGCCAGAGGGTGGCTACACCTTTCCGCCAGGGGAAGCAAAGGGGAGCAACTTCGTGGTGAGTACCAATTAGTGATTTTATTTTGAAGGGAGCTTCAAATAAGGAGATACAAGTGTTCCACTATGTTCGCAAGAAGAAGAAGACAAGCAAAAGAGCATGAGTCAGGATAAGTATAAAATATCAATTTTACTCTAGAAAATTCCTATTTATCACAATTTTCAGCCAGTTTACAATTCCAGATAAATTCCAGTTTATAGTACACCAGGTTAGCTTACCTTGATAACTTCCTTTCCCCAAATGATTATTGCCACTACATGGAAAACAAAGGCTGTCTGTAGAAACAGCTGTGTTAATGAGGAAGTGCTGTTCCAAACTGTTTTACTATGGTGTGATGTTTGGCAGGTCTTGACATCGCCCACGTGAAGAATGGCTATGTGTACCACACCAAGTACGACCGCCCCAACATGGTGCAGCCAGGCTGCCTGCAGAGAGGAGGTAACATCACCACACCAACCTCATCGTCTTGCTTCAGGACATCGTTCACATCATAACTGGGGTTAGGGGACGGTCATTTATTACAGGGGCCAATGGTTTGTGATACACAAATGTACTGAAAATATTACCCACACACATCACACTGCACCACACCACACCACACCACACCACAACACAACACAACACAACACAACACAACACAACACAACACAACACACACTAAACCCTTAAGGCTTGTCATTAGAATATCCTCCCCTTGTACAGTGTTTCATGACCCTCCCTGAGCAAAAAAAACACATGCAAGAGCACTTTATATGTTGCAAAAAACTGTCCATTTGGTCATGATTATCTTTATATACATGCCTTAATTTTCATTACCCTCCTCTAGAGACTTACTGTTTTTGATAACCCTCCCCCAACTCAGTAACCCCTATATAATAAATGCCTTGTCCCTCTTAAAACTTAAAAGTGAGAAGATGCTTAAAAATAATTTCAAAACTCTTTCTGTATGTTGTATTCTAATAGACCTGAAAATCTGCTTTAGGATAACTAAAATGGCAGTTCCTGCAGTTGTAACCTGACAGTTTGTCTTATATCAAATACACCCAAGGGATTGGAGGTTTTATTTAGTGTTTGCTGTTTATGTTGTAAATATTCAGTTAGGAAAAGTCTCAGGTTCATTTGCATTTCTTCACAGGAGAAAATCTGCAAGCACTTCTGGTTACCTTGGCGACAAGTAAACAAGTGGTTGACCCTGGTGAAGACAAACATGGAAACATGGTCTTTTTTGACTTCATTGGTTACTTCATGATATCCTATCCTCAGCGAGTTGGCGTTCTCATTAACTGGAGCATCGTTGCTGTTGTTGTCCTCTCCATTCTCAGAAAAGTCAGTACAGACTCAAAAGGTAAGTCCAAAGATGATTGGGAATTTATTTTTTTTCAAGAGTTTGAACATACTTTAAAAAAATGTTTACATGTGTTAACACTTTTCTGTTTAATGTACCGGTATGTAAACAGTCTTCAAGTAGAAATCACATTTACAATTTCATTTTAGTTGTGTGGCATCATATCCCTTGTCCACCTCTGAAAGTGTCAATGTATATTTTCCTGCCTCCAGTTGTTTCAATGGTCAATTTCAGGTCCTGGAATAGTGACTTACGCTGTTCAACTTGGTGGTGCAGTGATTAGTATAATATTGACATGGGTTGCCGTGGTGACCAGTGCTGTGACGGTAGCACTCCTGCTGAACATGGTTGGACGTGAGATGTCATGGTACTCCAACATCCATAATATCAGCTGGCTCTTCATCTTGCCAGGAGTGACATGTGGCCTTGGAATCAACCTCCTCCTCAAGCAAACAGTGTACAGAGTATGTCACCAGGGGTTTACATCATGCATTATTCCTGCATATTTGCCTCAACAGTTTTCATAAATACTGTCCAAATATTTTCTTATATATTCTTATTTTTCAAATAAGTGTACCTTGAATACAAAGAAACACTAAATACATTGCTTACAATAGAGGACAATATCAGAAAATATGCTTTCATAACCCTTGTTTCATTTAGAATTAATAATGGAATTATTTTATTGACAATATATTTTCATGACTGACAAATGTAGAAAAAGACTCCCAAATATATTTAGCGTAAGTCACCATGACACCCATTTGTCAAAGTCTGTATAAAACCCTGTGTCATTTGGCAGTCTGAAAAGTACTCATTTTTAAAACTTATCCTATCCCACGGTTTCTACTTTCTCTCATGATTCGACAGCCAAGTGGAAACAAACTGTAACAAAGTTTTCAGATTTTCTTGAACCATTCCCCAAAACACGCCCCAGTGCTTCCATTCCTGGACATTCTCAGCCTCTCTGAACCATGCAGCATGCCTCCTGGCTAATCACGTGACACCACCATTCATTTCTCTTCTTGTCGCACAGCTGTGCAGACGTACTGTAACTTTGAGTTTTAATCTTTGAATCTTTGACTATGGGAAAGGATGACAACTCATCCCGAAACTAGAAAATTTGCCAACAATGTAAGAAGGATTGCCCCAATGCAGACCCTCATCCCTCTTGCTTAGACGATATTGGGCTTTAGGCGTGGACTACGAGGTGTACTTTTTGCGAGCACCTTAATAATGATGACTTTGCTGTTTATCAGAAGGCCGGGTCACGTCGTCCCTCAGATAAAGATTCCCGTGAACAAGAAGAACATGGCCCTTCTGCTATTAAGAAGGCAGAGAATGATCGACCTCCCAAGAAAGCCCGCTCTTCTACTTCCTCTTTCTCGGATCATGATAATTTTCTGGTTGCTCCCTCGGATCCCTACCTCAGTGAAAATCTGCGTCACTTGCTTCGTCCATCAGAGCCAGAAGACAGTCTAACGTACGATTGGCGGTTGCCTCCATGGTGGTGGTTATACAACGTTCACCGGACCATCCTGTACCTATGTCCCACCTTTGTTTGGCCTTCCCTGCCTTAACTCTGCCGGGGATGACCAGTTGGCTTTCGGCCTCACGTTCACCGAGTCATCTCGATTTCTCCATGGATGGTCTAGAAACCAGACCCCCAAAATGGTGAAAATGTGGTGCAGTTCTGGTGACCAAACGGGATGTGTTTTTTCACAATCAGGAATGATTTAGCTTCGATTTAAAGCCGGTTGTCATCAACTACTGTGCATGACTACCGTGCAGGGGACCTTTTAAGGTGCAACACGTCATGTCAGTTATGGCAATATTTTAACTGATAACTGGATGGTTTAATTTAATAACTCTGGTTTGGATTGACCGATTTTCATCAAAATAGTAGTTTTGGAATGCTCAGATCATGATTTAAAATTGTGGACAATAAAATAACATATATGATCATCGCAAAAATATTTTGGTAAGGTCAAATGTCAATTTTAATAGAAAGGGCATTTGATAAGAAAATATGAGTTGAACTTTACAAATTAAAGGGGTTTTTTTTCAAAAATTATGTTTTTCTGATTCAGCTATATCATTTGAAGATCACATATACCTTTGGTTGGCACTGTATGCATGAAAAAAACATTACAAGGAAACAAAGGTTGGTACTTTGTAATTAGATCAGCAACATATAAGAGAATTCCATCTCCGTGCTTTACAAAGTATCAACAATACTAAATATGTCGAAGATACTGTTGAACTACCATATAAATGTGCGTTTATTGACATTCTGGCAGAAACAACAATTCAGCTGTCAAAAGGAGATATGTTTTGATAAGTGTCAGTATTGCACTGACATGCCGTGAAACCCTAAAAGCTGATGGATAATAATATGACATCCTAATGGAAGGTTTACAAGTGACATTATGGTGTGCCATTTCTTCTGTTTACAATGTGAAATATTACGACTTTGGTTTTCTTGATTTCTTTTACACCGGCAATCATTAATACATTGTAAAAGATATGACACACTGATCAGAAAGGCGTTATGGTATCTCACCACCAAATATACACACAGTCATGTCATCATAACGCAAACAACATTGCCTTCATATCAGTTCGTATTTATTGTTTTTAATAGTCATAGTATATCCCCAGTTAAGATAAGATTATACTTTATTATCCCGAAGGAAATTTTGGTTGACATGTTAGTCAATGTCAACATTGTCAAGATCACGGGAACATGTTTCAAACCCACATCCACATGCCAAAGTACACAACAGGTTCAACCTGTTGCAGCAACACCTTCCGGTACATTGATGTTTACATGCACAGATATCTTGAAGAAGGTCCGGGGAAACGATTTAGTCTTAACTTATTTGCAACTTTATCACAGAGGAACAGAGGAATATTTGATGAAGATCTATTACGATAGAAACGTACTTCTTTAAATACAAAACATTAAGTGCCTACGTTTATGGACAACTCAAAGAAATTCTAGACAATATTCATATAAACATCTTGCTTCTACAATAACGTTTATAAAAATATGCATACCTCGGTGTTAGTAATATGTAATGATATACACAAAACAGTTACACATAGCATGGTCATGACACTATGAGCATCGATCTTCACAAGTGGGATACGATGGCATGCAATGTACAAGTAAATGAGAACGACCACTCGATCACATTAGTTCGCTCTTACAACATGGGTTGCTGAAGATCAACTTTGACCCAACATATTTGTGAACCTGTGATAATGGTTAATGAATAGATGCATAGTCAGTCTCATGATATCTATTGTAGATCATTCCAAATGCTATTATAGACAACAGAATGTATGTCACCAATATCGTTTCTGGTCTCTGCAGAAGTCGTACCTCAGAGAGCCAATTGTCAAGTTGCATTTGATTACTATCAGCTATTCAATACATGCACAGAAGTTGGTGTATACGTTGACAGACGCTTTAGAATTATATTTTGCGCAGAAAACCTTGAATCGTCTATACATATTGACAGTAGTGGGTGACCTCGTCTTGATGGCTACTAAAAGACCACCTGTCGTTCAGTTTCTGATTTCAGTATCTCGCATGACTGTGTTGTCCTTCAAGCAGAGAGTGAATGAGAGCGACAATAGTTATCGCATCATGGAATTGGCTCACGTGAATCATTATCTTCATCAGCTGATGAGCGAAGACAGTACAACTTCAGCTCTAACATATTGACAGACCTCACCTAGATAAACATTACCAAGTCGGCTGTAGTCAGCTGCATTGTTCCAACAGATATTATGAAGCCACCAGCTGTGATCAGCAGAGTGTGTTTCAAATGAAGGACATCTTCTGCTTGCCCAGATCTATATATTAATTTTCCGAAATATGAATGCTAATATTACTAGGAGATTAGGTTTTTAAATGCGTTACCCTCCTTGTAAGAACCACAGTCGCTCTGTATCGCTGGGACCTTACACATGCCAGTAGTCTGTCTCATACTCCAAACTTTCGGCCCAGCCCCTTCTGTAATGCACTAGTCCAAAATGAAGCCAGTCTAGACCCCCACTGGTTCTGAATCTCTGCGAGCTCACTGGGGCTAATTCAGTATATACGGAGTTATATATTGCCACCAAAGATTTCCTATTTTCAGAGGCTTACGCTTTGTATAGCGTGCCAGGATCCTGTAATTATGGATCCAAACATGCTCGGATATGCTTTGTGGTTTTCAAGACCATATCTATATTTCTGAATTTCTCCCACATTAAACAACTGTTGTTAGATCCAATTATGCATGCTGTGCAGCCTTTTATGGCATTGGCTTTTGTGCATGTGTTTGTTTATTTGTTATTTTGTTGCATTTGTATGGGCTGGGGCTATTCAAGATGAAATCCACCTAAGCAGGATTAATTGATTATTTTCTCACTAACAGCGAGTAGCGAATTAAGTGACCTACTTTTGTTTGTACCATGAGCTCCGTTTTTCCTGGTGACTTGATTGTGTGTGTATGCGCGCGCGTGCGTCGGCGTAAGTGCGTCGCGTGCGCGTCGCGTGTGTGCGTGCGTGCGTGCCTTATTGGTGAAATGCCACACAACTACATCCTAATCACTACATTTAATCATGGGTAACTTTTCATATTGTTTGCACTTTAAACTGATCAACATGTATTATGCATGGATGCGAAGCATGTTGTAAACTGTAATATTGTTGTCAGTTAACACCCAATAAACCAGGTCGGAGTAATAACATATTGCATAGCCTGAACAACTATCAAACCTCAATGTGAATGACAACATTTAAGTCTGTAACATCGGTAGGCCTTGTTTCCCACTTACATTTGTCTGGAGAACTGACAATGGGTTGAAACGAAGTGATTAAGCTGGGGATCTAATGGAAACCATCACCAGCTTTTAAGCCATGAAACCTTTGAAAATTTACCAATTTACAATTGAAATGTTTCCCCACCTAAGGAAATATTCATATTTCGAACCCAAGTAAACTAAGAAAAGACTCGGAAATTACATGTAACTTGCTGTCACTTGTAAACCTTCCATTAGGATGTCATACTATTATCCATCAGCTTTAAGGGTTTCACAGCCTGTCAGTGCAGCTGGAGCGGTGAAGTGACACAAGTATAAACAATATTGACACTTATCAAAACATATCTCCTTCGGACATCAGCTAAATTGTTGTTTTCATGCATGCAGTGCCAACCAACGGTATGTATGATCTTCAAATGATATAGCTGAATTGTAAAAACATAATTTAGGTAAAATTACCTTATAGTTGTAAAATTGATAAAGTTGCAAATAAGTTAAGAATAAATCGTTTCCATAGACCTTCTTCAACTTCATAACTGTGCATGTAAAAGTCAATGTACAGGAACTCAGGAAGGTGTCAAAGAGGTTGAACCTGTTGTGTACTTCGGCATGTGGATGTGGACTTGAAACATGTCCCCGTGATCTTGACAATGTTGACATTGACTAACATGTCAACTAGGAATACACTATGACTATCAGGAACAATAGACACGAATTGATATGAAGGAAATATTGCTTGCGTTATGATGACATGGCTGACTCATCATTCTTTGATGAGCAGAGAAAGACATCTGGAATAATAAAATTATACAATTAAGAGCTTTCTGTTATGTTGTGTGATTTTAATGATAGTCCAACAGTATCTTCGACATATTTGGTATTGGTGACTATGTAAAGCATGGAGCTGTTACTGTTGAACAGACATTATATAATATTTTGCTGATCTAAATACAAAGTACTAAATTTTGTTTCCTTGTAATGTTTTTTTCATGCATACAGTGCCAACCAAAGGTATATATGATCTTCAAATGATATAGATGAATTAGAAAAACATAATTTTGGAAACAATTACCTTTAATTTGTAACATTCAACTCATATTTTCTCATCCAATGCCCTTTCTATTAAAATCTTTGCTGATGAGCATATATGTAATATTATTGTCCACAATTTTAAATCATGATCTGAGCATTCCAAAACTACTATTTTGATGAAAATCGGTCAATCCAAACCAGAGTTATTAAATTAAACCATCCAGTTATCAGTTAAAATATTGCCATAACTGACATGACATACTGCACCTCACAAGGGCCCCTGCACGGTAGTCATGCACGGTAGTTGATGACAACCGGCTTTAAATCAAAGCTAAATCATTCCTGATTGTGAAAAAACATATTCCGTTTGGTCGCCAGAACTGCACCACATTTTCACAATTTTGGGGGTCTGGTTTCTAGACCAGGACCTTCAACCGACGGCTTTGAGCATTCTACCGTTTCTGCTTCGTTGCATCAACCTTTGGGTGTCAGTCAGTGATGGATCAACTTACTCACTACTTCAGCTACATCACAGCTATCCAGTGTCGGGACCCTTTGCACCTCACATCATGGGAAGATCGCTACAGAACTGAACAGTTTTGGCAACCCTGGTCGGGACAATATCTGTTCAACGGTGTGTTCAACCATTATCTCTCGAAGGTGGAGAGAGACGGTCAATACCAAGTCTCTGTAGAACTGTTGAAGTTGCAGAAGATACATGTGGAATATTTGCTGAAGCGCAGATGACCAGCGCAGTACGTGCCGAACAACCTCGAGTTGTGGGAGGGTAGGAGACAGTCATGTCCTTCCTGTACCAGAGACAGCCGATTCGGATCACACCAATTTCAGACTATGCTCGGTACTTACTAGACAAACTCGCCATAGTCTCTCGGACCTTTGCCCAACTACCCCGGCTTCTCCCATATCTCGTCCAAAAAAAGGACTCTGACAAGCTCCACCTCATTTTCAATAGTTCAACGCCAACTAACTGCTACCACCACCGCACTTACGAATGATTTTGGTAGCTCTGATGTGCACGGTTGTGAAGCCAGGTGACTTCAAGAGCTTCTCGGGCCACTCACATTACTCAAGTGCTCACGACCAGGGGTCAACTTCAGCTTCGACCCATTCAAGGGTGGGGTGCTCACCTTCGCAAGTTTCAAGCGGCAGGGCTGTGGTCTCTAGAAGAGCAGTCCTGCATATCAAAGAACTTGAATTCAGAGCGGTCATCTTGACCATTCTACACTGGGAGCAGGAGCTGCGATCGACCATTCTGCTCATCCAGTGCGACAACTCAACTGGCGTTTGGTACGTCAACCATCAAGGGTCTACCAGATCAAATCGTCGACTGGGGTGGCCAATGCTCTTCTTCCACCTGATCGATTCCCTGGGGATATTGGCCAGAGCCAGACGGGGTCAAGAATGTGATCGCTGACACTCTAGCTCGGTCCAACCGTCTCCAACCAAGTGGATGCTTTACCCTCAGATATTTAGATTGGTTCATCTCCCGATTATGTATCCTCAAGTTGACCTATTTGCCACCAGGTTCAACCATCAACTCATCTCACCAATTGTCTCACCTCTTTGGTCGATTAGTACAAGAGAGGCTGAAAACTTTGTTACAGTTCGTTTCCATTCGGCTGTCGAATCATGAGAGAGAGAGAGTACAAACCATGAGATAGGATAAGTATTTTAAATATACAATATATAGTTAAAATTTTCAATTTTATTTACTCAGTCATAAATTCATGTTAAACATTGTATAAAATGACAGAAGCTAAATTTCCCAGAATGTCAGTTTGAGATTTTGGTTATGTTGTAGTACTTTTTACAGCTGGGCTAACCAAGTAGTATGCTCATTAAAAGGTCCATGTTATAACTGTGGTATAGTTGGTTGACTGAGTAAAACTGATTAGTATCAACAGGTATCCATAAAACCTCAGTTGATTCCAGTTCCTTGTATTATGTCATACTCAGTTAAACAGCACCCACTTGTTTAATATTACTACAGATAATGTCATACAGTGACAGGTGACATTTTGTTAACAGCACTGGGATCCATGGCGTGTGGAAACATTATTCTTCGAGGCCAATCTGCTCTTCTTGTCGTCCATCTTGTCTATGTTGACCTACCACAACATCATGTCATCTTACGTCATCTTGCTGTGGGTCATGTTCCCAATCATCATCAGGGACAGGGTGAGCAGACTGCTCAACATCACATTCAGAGGTGGGTATTGGGCAGCTATTGGGACATTGTTAATACGTGTGGTTGGTCACTGGCCTTGTCATCATCGAGTTTTTGGTACATCTGCATTAGAATATGAAGAATGATAGGATAGCCCCCAACTTGTATAATGGACTGCTGTGTCATTTGGTCAGGAGTAATTCTGGCAATGAATTGATCTCTCAGCCATTGATATATTTGGTTGTTTTTAGGTTCATGTTCATTAGAATTTCATTATTAACATGTGCATGAAAAGTTGAAGATCTTTGAAGAGGGATCCTGGTCTTCCATTACGTTCCCATTACCTGTCTTGGTCCTGAAACAGTAATGATCGCTTGATAAATAGTCTCTCATTAAGTTCTAGAGTGAGTGAGTAGGTGTAGTTTTACGGCGCACTCAGCCATATTCCAGCTATATGGCGACAGTCTGTAAATAATCAAGTCTGGACCAGACAATCAAGTGATCAACAGCATGAGCATCGATCTGCGCAGTTGGGAACCAATGACATGTGCCAACCAAGTCAGCGAGTCTGACCACCCGATCTCTTTAGTCGCCTCTTACGACAAGCATGGGTTACTGAAGATATTCTAACTCAATATTGTTACTCAATATTCTAACTAGTGGTGTAACGATTCATCGATAGTATCGATGTTTACATCGTCAACTACGCGATACAAGTGCATCGATACAAAACACATTTAGGCAATATATCAGGATATTTGTATCACAAGGGTCCATGATACATCTATGTATCGCCACAAGAGACGATATATCCCGATACAACTTAAATACTACTTAAAGTTGTAAGGAGTATTGCATTAGGATTAGAGTCTCTTTGAAATTCTTCTGAATTTTAAAAACAAATTGAACTTTAAAGGAATTTGTTTGTGTCTGTTATTTTTGTTACATGAACAAAGGAGTTGGTGTATAAGTCAAAGAGTGTGAACATTTTTCAAACTCTGTGAACTGTAGAATACTTGTCTTAGTCAAGGAGCTTATGAGATTCCGTGAAAGTTTTTTGATGAAAGCAAATCATATATTCTTTTGTGTTTATATGTTAAAGGAGTTTAAAAAAATGTTTGGTTCCAATCTGAATATTGATGCGAAAGCTATTTTTAGCTCAAAATCAAAGATGGCCGCCAGATTTTAACCGGGAACTGAAAAAGTTGCAAAAACTCGGAACAAAACAATGGTTTTAATATCAAATACCATGCATATTTGGTTACGGAATATATTTCTCATATGCTGTAAGTCACCAGATCTTTTTAGTTTGATTTTAGTCTTAAATTTACATTAAAGAGTCATTTTTAGCTCTAAAAGTTATAATGATGAATAAAACCCCAATTTCTTCACAAGGCATATATTTTGTATAGAACTAGTACAATATGAAAAAGGAAAATACTTTTTACCCTGTTTATCAACTATAGAAGAGGTCTTTACATGAAACTGCGATCCAGAAATATACTCTTCAAAAAGAAACGCACAAGCCATTTTTTAGAAGAATTTCTTGCATTAGTTTAAGAGCTATTATTTCATGTAATCCCAATGGTAAAAAGGTGAAAATTCAAACGTCTATAGACAAAGCCTTTACTGTTGTGTTTCTGTTCTCTTGAGTCCACAAGATGGCGTCAAAGTCAGTTCTTTGTATGGCCACCATTGGCAGCAATTACTGCTCGGCACCGTCTCGGCACAGACTGGATAAGTTGACGAAGTAGCTATTATCATCGTAGGCGACTTCAATTTCCATTTTGACAACAAGGATAACCATGACACTAAACGAATAATTAATCTTCATGAAGTCCACAACTGTGTACAACTCGAGTCAGAGGCAAGCCACAGAGGTGGACACACTCTGGATAGTTACCCGTGATTCAGACGCGTGTGTCAGTTGTGTACCTGTATAGGATCTACAGCTCTCTGACCATTTCCATATATTTGTGAGCTTGGACCTCTCAATACCCAGTCCAAATGTGAAGATAACTCGCTGTAGGAACATGCGCTCCCTGGATATGGATACTTTTAAAGACAATTTGCTAAATTTCAGACCTTATACTTGAGCCACCATCTGATGCTGAGAGTCTCGTTCTGCTATACAATAGAGCTCTATCTGAGCTGCTATATAGACAAACATGTACCAGTGAAGGACAGAGTCATACCAGTCACTAAAACATCTGCTTGGGACTTCACACCTGAGGTTCGACAAGCGAAAAAAGACAAGAGGAAAGCAGAACGCAGATGGAAAACAATCTTTCCTGGAGATTCATCTCCAAATGTATATTTCAGCCAAAAATCACTCAACAACGGTCATCAGACAAATCAACATCTCAATTCTAAGATTGGAGCCAACGAGTCAAGTCGAAAGTTGCTGTTCAAACTTTTGTTGAGTATCTTGAGTAAACACTTTGAATCGACACTTCCGACATCTGATGACAATGAAGTAATAGCACAGACATTTTCGGATTATTTCTACAAAAAGATCCAGGAACATTCATGACAAGATTTCGTCTTCTGCGGCTGTGGATGAAGCTGATATTCCTCCAAAAATGTTTGATGGCACGCCTCTGACTCATATTGATAGTTTCACTGATATTTACCAACATTAGTGCTGATTATTAACTCTTCTATTTCATCTGGTTATGCCCCAAGTGTACTCAAGTCAGCTCTAGTTAGGCCACATCTGAAGAAATCAAGCCTTGATTAGGAGGATCCAAAAAACTACAGGCCTGTTTCAAACTTAGCATATATATCCAAACTCATTGAACGTGCAGTCTCCAGTCGTCTCATGGGCCACCTTTCCTGGCATAACCTCTATGAGGTGTTCCTATCAGCCTGCAGAGCACACCACAGCACAGAGACGGCCCTGCTGAAGATCCCGAATGACCTACGATGTGGTATTGACACAGGACAAGTGGCCCTGCTCACATTACTTGGCCTAAGCAGTGCCTTTGACATGACTGATCACCAGAGACTCCTCAAAAGACTTCATACAGAACTTGGATTCAGCTTTATCCTGGCTGGCATCTTATCTACAGGACAGGACTCAAACCGTTGTTGTTGGTGAGTCTGTGTCAACCGCATCTAGGCTTGAGTGCGGAGTCCCTCAAGGATCCGTGCTTGGTCCGATCCTCTTCACCCTCTACACTGTTCCACTTGGCTCTGTTGTAGCAAACCTTAATCTTGACCACTTCTACGCAGATGACACGCAGCTGTGGAAGTTATTTCAACCAAACACAGAGTCAGCTATTGCCAGAAGATATTCATGGATGTCATCAAATACCTTGAAATTAAATTAAGAGAAAACAGTCCATTCTTTTGGGACAGGCTGGAAAACGCAAGCAGTGCGACATTACTAGTGTGTGTGTCTGTGGAGCAACCATTCCTCTTTCATCCACAGTCAACGATCTGGATGTTGTCATCGATCAAGATCTAAGTATGACAGTACACGTCAAGTATGTTACTAAAACTTGCTACTCCCATCTCCACAATATCAAAGGCCAGGCCGTTCTTACCAAAGATGCCTCAAAAACTCTCTGCCTCAGCCTAGTCACATCTCGTATGGACTACTGTGACAGCTCTTTGGCCGGATCTCCATCTTGTGTCACTGACCAACTCCAATGCATACAGAATTTAGCTGCTCGCATTACCTCCCAGATCACCAGAAACAAGCACATCACACCAACTCTAAAGGACCTTCACTGGCTGCCCGTGAAACAAAGAATCGCCTTCAAACTATTCTGTCTCGCATACTAGTGCATGACTAACACGGCTCCAGTCTAACTCTCAAATCTTCTTCAGGCTTATGCACCATCTAGATCTCTCAGAACAGGGAATCAACACCTTCTTGTTATCCCCAAACTCAAACAAGCTAAATATGGACACCGTGTGTTCTCCTATCCCGCTGATAAACATTTTTCTCCCCACATTTATTTGTATATCTTTTTTTTCAAAATTATAACCATTTTAGAAAGTTATTCGATCTGATGACTTGAAAATTATTTCAATGGATTTAATTGAAAGAGTGTGAAGCAGAAAATAGTGTTTTCTCCCCATTATTTCATTATATTCTTATCTTTTTTCAAAGAACTCTGCTTTTAGAAGAAAAACTTCAAGCGTAATAATAAGAAATTGATAAATCATAATCTGATATTGACATACTACATTTTGAAATAAGGACTGCTCCCTTACTGACAGTCTCACCAAACAAAAATAAACATCTCTTTTATGTTTCATACATAACTGTTTTTAATAACTTGCTTTACATTGAGTTGATGAAATGAAGCAATCATATACTTACAAAATGCACAAAACCTACATCTGCTTAAATTCGTCTGCTAGCTGCCATTTTGAGAGAGGGAGTGTTCAATATATTTATTTTTTTAATTAAAAAAAAAATATTTTTTGGGTTTTCTTTTAATAAAATATTTCATGAAATAGAGAAACACACTTGGATAAAGTTAATAACCTCAAACTTTAAATATTCAACTCTCCCATTATGACCTTCTGACCTTTTAGCAACCTTTTCCACAACCACTTTGTACAGTGCTCAAAAGTACTATTTGCACCATATTTCAACTTGGAACCAAACTTTTTTTAACTATTTAACTAGCATGTCTGATGAATACAAAAAACACAATGTCTTGCTTTCATCACAAAACTTCCACGGAAAGACTTGAATGCTGTAAACCCATCCTACCAGACTATTTGTGGTTAGTCTTATGCGGAACACCAAATTCATTCTTAAAAAACTTGTGGTTAATTAATACCGGCGATTAAAAGTTGCCAAAAGTCACCTGCTTCACTCTAAGCCATGTTGAACAACAACAGACAGGTTACGTAACTCTGTAAGCCAAAGAGCCCTACAGTGGCGTCATGTGAGGAAAGATTTTCAGTTAGTTGTATATAAAGTGTGTAGCAAGCTCATCCTTTTGATTATTTCTCGACATCAACAAAGACATGCCGAATCGTTAGATTGCTCCAGGGGTCGGGCGATGGTGTCACCATGCACAGATTTCCCAGGACCCCGCGAGTTTAGATGCTAAATGGGTTATGTTTGTAAGTCCGGGCGGCGTTGTGGAAGCCTGAAGCGATATCTTACTTGTGTTCAGATCGGCTTCACGGAAGTTAAAGAATCAAAACTACTTACTAGTTGTAGTAAAATATGTATATGATTGATGACCATAAAGATTTTCCATGACACAACTTGTAACATAACGATTTCTTCCTCAGAAGCGAGGTTGTGGTCGAAGTAACAATAATATTGTAAGTAGTATTATATTGACACCCACCTCGCTTCCACGAGAGAAACTGTAATGTTATAAGCTATGTCATGCAAAATCCTATTGGCCATCAATCAAATACATATTTAACTACCAGTAGAAAGTAGTTTTGATTTTGTAACTTGGTGAAAACAAACCTAAATAGCATTTATCCTCAGAATGGCAGATGTTCGCGACAGGGCGCCGCCATTTTTTAAAATCGTAAAGTCACGGGCTAAAGTCTGTTAGAATTAATGAGATTTTGGTTTGTTTTCATCAAGTTAGAAAATCAAAACTACTTTCTACTCGTAGTTACATATGTATTTGAATCATGACCAAAAGGATTTTGCATGACACAACTTGTAACATAACGATTTCTTCCACGGAAGCAAGGTGGGGGTCGAAGTGACAATACTGCGCCATAAATTTCTTGCTACATTCACGTGGTTAACGTGCACTCACCAGTATGTAGATACTAGTCAATGTACGTCTTTATATTTGGTCTTATAATCCTAATTAGTTTATTATCATACTCGTATGCATTTTGAAACTTGAATATATAACAGGACTGTAATATCTATACATTTTATAGTTTGCCAATGTGAATCATAATTCGCACAGACGCCCTAGTGTATGGTGTCTGTCTCATTACACTTCACGGCCAAAACAATGATTCTGTTGAATGCTACGACAAATGAATAAAAACAAAATGCAAATATTAAAATTAAAACAGATTAACATTATAGGAACAATGTCAGGCTATTACCTTGTTCGAGGAATGTATCCATCAATATCCACCAAAACGAGTGATATGCCATTCATCTGCAGCTGTTCCAAGTGATGTGTTTTTTAACAGTCTAATATACGAAAAAGTGATATATCGTTTCAGGTATTAATTGCTGTATTGCATGTGAAAACTTATGGGCCGACACTGTTTTGAGAATACGAACAGAACTTCATTGTTGCATAAGAAATACATATAAGCATTTGCTGTGTGCTAAAACTCTATGTACCTATTAACATAAGTAAATTTTCAGATTCTTCTAGCAGGGCAAAGTAGGGTTGTTTAGTTTACGGATTCAAATAAATCAAATGTCAATTTTTAATATCGTACGTAATAGATGTCATATTTTTACATGACATGAATAAATATCGAGGTAAAAAAAACCCACAGAAATGGGATCAATTTGGATCAGTCATTATACCATCCTGGCATTAGAAAACCTGAAAAAGCCTACACTGCTTTGATACTTTATTACAATCAGACAAGAACCACCGGGGATATTTTCAAATAACTGCATCCACCCTTCTTAATGTCGCACTGTTTAGGTTGAAGAAATTAACCATAACCGTGATGAGCGAGGCTGATCATCATTTTCACTATCACTAGCGTCTGGTTTGAACAAATAAGGCCAAGCGACACTAAGCAATTTTGACAGAATCGTCTATGAAAACTAGTAGAAACTAGGCAAAGCAAGAGACAAAATTAAATGACAGTAGATTGTGAGAACTTATAGCTTTCATTTTTCACAACAGTTGTCACGATTTCAGGTTTATACAAGCCTGTAAACAAGATAATTTACCCCCTGAAATGTACATGAATTCTGCATCGGCCCTCATTCTATTCCTCATATGACGTCACAGAGACGCGTCGCTCTGATTGGTTGAAATTTCGTTCGTGGGTGAGAATTGTGCACTGTTGTCAAAAAAGTCGATCAAAGTTAATTAAAGATCGAAATGAGTAGTTTTAATGACGGGGCTCATTTATAACAATGCCAATTAGTGATTTATGTATTTGTACCCCCCTAGAGTATATGTGATCTTTAAGAGTTTCTTTCAGTGATCTGAATTCTGATATAAATTACAATGAGTTCTTTGTGAAAGCATTGGTGTAGAAACACAACTTCCCAACTTCACTTTCAAATGTATATATATATATATTAGATCAAGGTAACAAATAAAGTTTCAGTCATTTTATCTACCATATCTGTTCTGTTATTAGAAATTGTAAAGTATCGGGAAACGTATCGTATCGCCACCTTTGTATCGTGATGATAATCATCTCGTAGGTTCTTTGCCAATACTTTCATGATATATCGTCTCGCCTCATGAAATTGGTATCAGTATATATCGTCTCGCCACTTAGGCCATGATACACAGCTCTAATTCTAACCCGGATCTTCACGGGTATTAAGTTCTACACATATATACCAGTGTATAAAACATAGCCCTTCCCACCGTCCTTGACGGTCTATTTTTGTGAAGGTTGGTCTATTAAATAAGTAAGGCCATCCTTTGGTCGGGGAAAAAAATATATGAAAAATAAACTTAACTTGGTTTAAAATTATCTTATTTATTATTTTTTCATTGTTTTAGTTTTTGGGACTGGCTGTGTTTGTTCAGGACTGGTCATTTTTTGGACAGCCAGTCCTTGGACAGACCATATTTCAAAACTATTTTATACACTGTATATACATTGCTAAACAACAAGGAGTTTTTTTAATAGCTTGAAACAACTTATTGACTTGCTCCATGTATAGGTCATTGGTTTGTTAAAAAAGTCATGTTTGTTTAATATTTATAACTTGTATTTTCAGACAACCATTCAGCATACTACCTCATGAGCTTCACCTCACTGTTTGTGCCAGCATTCTACACCGTCTATGTAATCTATGCTGTTTTACACTTCTTCATCCCCATTATGGGACGTCTAGGCAGAGTTGTGGTTCCTGACATTCCAGTCAGTGTCATCACAGCCATACCAGTCATCCTTGCCACAGGCTTCCAGGTAGGTTCTTCTCTGCCCAGTCTTTCCATTCCTCCCCTACAGAGTCTTCCTACTCCTTCTCAACACAGCCTTCCTATTCCTTCTCAACACAGCCTTCCTACTCCTCTCAACACAGCCTTCCTATTCCTTCTCAACACAGCCTTCCTATAACTCCCCTACAGAGCCTTCCTATTCCTTCTAACACAAACTTCTTATTCCTCCCCTACAGAGCTTTTCTATTCCTTCTCAACACAAACTTCCTATTCCTCCCCTACAGAGCCTTCCTATTTCTTCTCAACACAGCCTTCCTATGTCTCCCCTACAGAGCTTTCACAGTCCTTCTCAACACAGTCTGCATAGTCATTCTCAACACACCCTTCTCATTCCTTTCCAGCGCAGCCTTACAGGTAGGGCTGCATCTACAGTCTTTTCATTCCTCCTTCACACCACCTTTTAAGTAGGTCCTCCTCTTCCCAGTCTTACTAACTGCAACCTTCCTAATCCTTCTGAACCCTGTCTTTACAGTCCTTCTGAACCCTGTCTTCGTAGTCCTTCTGAACCCTGTCTTCACAGTCCTTCTGAACCCTGTCTTTACAGCCCTTCTGAACCCTGTCTTCACAGTCCTTCTGAACCCTGTCTTCACAGTCCTTCTGAACCCTGTCTTCACAGTCCTTCTGAACCCTGTCTTTACAGCCCTTCTGAACCCTGTCTTTACAGCCCTTGTGAACCCTGTCTTTACAGCCCTTCTGAACCCTGTCTTCCTAGTCCTTCTGAACCCTGTCTTCCTAGTCCTTCTGAACCCTGTCTTCACAGTCCTTCTGAACCCTGTCTTCCTAGTCCTTCTGAACCCTGTCTTTACAGCCCTTCTGAACCCTGTCTTTACAGCCCTTCTGAACCCTGTCTTCACAGTCCTTCTGAACCCTGTCTTCACAGCCCTTCTGAACCCTGTCTTTACAGCCCTTCTGAACCCTGTCTTCACAGTCCTTCTGAACCCTGTCTTCCTAGTCCTTCTGAACCCTGTCTTCACAGTCTTTCTGAACCCTGTCTTCCTAGTCTTTCTGAACCCTGTCTTCCTAGTCCTTCTGAACCCTGTCTTCACAGTCCTTCTGAAACCTGTCTTCCTAGTCTTTCTGAACCCTGTCTTCCTAGTCCTTCCTGAACCCTGTCTTTACAGCCCTTCTGAACCCTGTCTTCCCTAGTCCTTCTGAACCCTGTCTTCCTAGTCCTTCTGAACCCTGTCTTCACAGTCCTTCTGAACCCTGTCTTCCTAGTCCTTCTGAACCCTGTCTTCCTAGTCCTTCTGAACCCTGTCTTCACAGTCCTTCTGAAACCTGTCTTCCTAGTCTTTCTGAACCCTGTCTTCCTAGTCCTTCTGAACCCTGTCTTTACAGCCCTTCTGAACCCTGTCTTCCTAGTCCTTCTGAACCCTGTCTTCCTATTCCTTCTGAACCCTGTCTTCACAGTCCTTCTGAACCCTGTCTTCCTAGTCCTTCTGAACCCTGTCTTTACAGCCCTTCTGAACCCTGTCTTTACAGCCCTTCTGAACCCTGTCTTTACAGCCCTTCTGAACCCTGTCTTCCTAGTCCTTCTGAACCCTGTCTTCACAGTCCTTCTGAACCCTGTCTTCCTAGTCCTTCTGAACCCTGTCTTTACAGCCCTTCTGAACCCTGTCTTTACAGCCCTTCTGAACCCTGTCTTCCTATTCCTTCTGAACCCTGTCTTCACAGCCCTTCTGAACCCTGTCTTTACAGCCCTTCTGAACCCTGTCTTCACAGTCCTTCTGAACCCTGTCTTCCTAGTCCTTCTGAACCCTGTCTTCACAGTCTTTCTGAACCCTGTCTTCCTAGTCTTTCTGAACCCTGTCTTCCTAGTCCTTCTGAACCCTGTCTTCACAGTCCTTCTGAAACCTGTCTTCCTAGTCTTTCTGAACCCTGTCTTCCTAGTCCTTCTGAACCCTGTCTTTACAGCCCTTCTGAACCCTGTCTTCCTAGTCCTTCTGAACCCTGTCTTCCTAGTCCTTCTGAACCCTGTCTTCCTAGTCCTTCTGAACCCTGTCTTCCTAGTCTTTCTGAACACTGTCTTCACAGTCCTTCTGAACCCTGTCTTTACAGCCCTTCTCGACACAACCTTCACAGTCCTTCTGAACCCTGTCTTCCTAGTTCTTCTGAACCCTGTCTTTACAGCCCTTCTCGACACAGCCTTCACAGTCCTTCTCTAAATAACATTCACAGACCTTTCCAGCACAGCATTACAGGTAGGGCCTCCTCTGCAATCTTTTCAGTTCTCCTTTACACCACATTTTAGAAGGACAGGGAAGTGAAAGGTGAAAGGACCTACTTTAAAGGTGTTGTAAAGGTGAGTGAGTCCTCAACACAATCTTCACCACAATCTTCCCAGGCCTTCTCAACAGCCTTCCCAGTTCTTCTCTACACAGCCTCCAGCCTTCCCAGTGCACCAAGTCTCTGCACATGAAACAGATCTGTCAATACTGTCATTCCCTAATATACTGTATTTTGCTCTAGTAGGCATTACAACTGCTGCCATCCCTCGTCTTCAACTTACTTTCAAGCACACCTATGACAGTTAATGAAGGGATGTTATGTAGGCAAAAATGAGGCAGTTCTGTTGCCTTTTGTATCAAGAGCACTGTACGTTCACTACAGTGTGCATTATTATGCCAAGATCTACATGACTGATGTTTGCAACTGATGTTTCAGGCTGGTATGGTGTATCCGTCCAAGAAGATCGGTCGGATGGTGAGCTGCCTGGGTCTTCTGTCTATTGGTGGCTTCTTACTTGTGGTCCTCACACCGATGGGGTTCCCTTATTCAAACACTAATGAACAAAAGTCACAGCAGAGAACCGTTGTCATGGTGAGTTGCAACTGAATAACAAGCTGAATCATGTTGATGTCTAGAAGAGCATGTTTGATGTGTTTCCAGCAGCTGCAGCAGAACATTGCTGAAGTGTGGCCAGCTGCAGCAGAACATTGCTGATGTGTGGCCAGCTGAAGCAGAACATGGTTGATATGTAACCAGCTGCAGCAGAACATGGTTGATAAGTATCCTGCTGTAGCAAAACAGCTAATTTTTATCCTGCTGCAGCAACAAGGCTGATGTGTAACCAGCTGTAGTAGAACATGCTTGATGTGTAACCAGCTGTAGTAGAACATGCTTGATGTGTAACCAGCTGTATTAGAACATGTTTGATGTCTAATCAGCTGTAGTAGAACATGCTTGATGTGTAACCAGCTGTAGTAGAACATGTTTGATGTGTAACCAGCTGTAGTAGAACATGCTTGATGTGTGATGATTGGTTTTGTTCATGTTTGGTTTACAGCACATAGACAGACAGTTCCATGATCAATCCATGTCTGTGATAAAACGAGACTCCTCATTGTGGTATATTCCATTCGACTACAAAGGGCCCAAGCTATTGAAGAAGGAAGTTCCTGAACTATTTGCCGAGGCCAAGCCAGTCCACTGTGAAGGAGCCTACTGTGGAAGGCCATACCTCTACCCTGTCTTGCCACTCTTTGATGCAGTGTAAGTTGCCCAATGGGTATGTTGTCTAGTATGGTGTACATTGTCTCAAGGATGAGTTGTTCCATCACTGTGTAAGTTGTGTCAAGGGTATGTTTGGCCACAGTGTAAGTTGTGTCAAGGGTACATTGTTCCACCATAGTGTAAGTTGTTTTACCACAGTGTAAGTTGTCTCACCACAGTGTAAGTTGTCTCACCACAGTGTAAGTTGTCTCACCCCAGTGTAAGTTATCTCACCACAGTATAAGATGTCTCACCACAGTGTAATTTGTCTCACCATAGTGTAAGATGTCTCACCAAAGTGTAAGTTGTCTCACCACAGTGTACGTTGTCTCACCACAGTGTAAGATGTCTCACCACAGTGTAAGTTGTCTCACCATAGTGTAAGATGTCTCACCACAGTGTAAGTTGTCTCACCACAGTGTAAGATGTCTCACCACAGTGTAAGATGTCTCACCACAGTGTAAGTTGTTTCACCACAGTGTAAAATGTCTCATTAGTGTAAGTTGTCTCAAAGTTACATTGTCTCACCACAGTATAAGGTATCGCATTAGCGGAAGTTATCTCACTGGTGATGTGTACACATGTCAGGTAGTACAGTATGTGTTTATGCCCCGATACCTAGTGATGTTTGTGCCCTATACCCTGGCTTTCTTTATGCCCCGATACCTGGTGATGTTTGTGCCCTATACCCTGACTTTCTCTATGCCCCGATACCTGGTGATGTTTGTGCCCTATACCCTGACTTTCTCTATGCCCCGATACCTGGCGATGTTTGTGCCCTATACCCTGACTTTCTCTATGCCCTGATACCTGGTGATATTTGTGCCCTATACCCCGACTTTCTTTATGCCCCGATACCTGGTGATGTTTGTGCCTTATACTCTTTCTCTATGCCCCTATGTGGTATCTATGCGGGATACCACCATGTGTTGTCTATTCCCTGACACCCGGTGTCGTTCTTGCCCTGGTCCCTGTTGTTGTTAGTAATGTTAGTGACGTTACTGCCATGTGTTGTTCATGTCTTGACACCTGGTGTTCTCTACATCCGCAGTGACTCTCTGGATCTCCCTGCTCCAAGGCTGAATTTGACTCGGCGACTCTCAGTTAGCGTCACAAAGCGAGAGAAAATATCACCAGACCGAGTAAAGCTGTATTTCAGTGTTACTGGTAAGACTCATTCAAACACGTCTTTGTGTTTTTCATAACATAATAGTTGTGGGGTATCAATAGCCTAGTGGCAAGAAACAGCTGCAGCTACCATTATCCTTTGGTAGTGGGTTTGAATCCTGATTCGGTTATCTTTTTGTCTCTCCATATTGGTGGTTCTACAATATGTGTAACTTTCAGGATCAGTGACATTTTGGTTCTTCCTCACACATCGGTGTCACATGCCTCAATAATGCTATTGCAATCAGGGTCAAGCTTTGCCTCTGTCTCTCCCTCAGACATTGACACAAGCAGCTTCTGGCATCAATGGTGGCCACCTTGAGTTTGTATACAACAGGTAGAAATATTGTTTACTGTACATGCAGTAGATAGCGACAAGTTGTGTAGTAGGCCTGAATGTACCACTTACATGCTGCTTTGGCAGGTCCCGATCATATGAACTGCTACATCATGCCGAGGCCAGATGTCCGTGTCATCTGGTGGTCCATGGGCTCGCAGGACCCTCAGCCAGTCCGAACCAATGACCATCTGACTGAACCAACCTACTTCCTCTACCATGCCCACGGACATGAATCACAAGACAGTTGGGACTTTGCTGTGGAGTTTTATGTATGTACTACAATAATGATGACTGATATAATGATGATAATAGTTTGATTGATTTTCATTTGTGCTTTCTGGTACAAGAGTTATTTTTAGGGTGGTTTGCTTGTGTCGAGGCTCATGATGAGAACAAATCTCAGTGTTAAAGTTTGTTTTGTTGAATGTTCCGTAAAGCTGAATGGTACAGAAAGGTATGTGCCTTACCAATTGGACACAGGCTCAGGTTTTGAAGGGAAGGCTTTCTGAATGATCACTTGAGTTTATGTGTGGTGTGTTGAGACGAACACAACCCTGCAAAGTCCCTCACTTGGAGTGAGTGAGTTTTGTTTTATGCCGCTTTTAGCAATATTCTAGCTGGGGGACACCAGAAATGGGCTTCACACATTGTACCCATGTGGGGAATGGAACCAGGGCCTTCGGCGTGTTGGGCAAACGCTTTAACCGCTAGGCTACCTCACCGTCGCCGCACATCAATTGGATGAAAACACCACACATAAGCTATTTCCCTTACTTTGTAATGTTTACAACATGTGTTGGGTCAGTCAGTTGTATCATGCCAAGTTTCTCTCATTCAGGTCAGTCAGTTGTATTATGCCAAGTTTCTCTCATTCAGGTCTGTCAGTTGTATCATGCCAAGTTTCTCTCATTCAGGTCAGTCAGTTGTATCATGCCAAGTTTCTCTCATTCAGGTCAGTCAGTTGTATTATGCCAAGTTTCTCTCATTCAGGTCAGTCAGTTGTATCATGCCAAGTTTCTCTCATTCAGGTCAGTCAGTTGTATCATGCCAAGTTTCTCTCATTCAGGTCAGTCAGTTGTATCATGCCAAGTTTCTCTCATTCAGGTCAGTCAGTTGTATCATGCCAAGTTTCTCTCATTCAGGTCAGTCAGTTGTATTATGCCAAGTTTCTCTCATTCGGGTCAGTCAGTTGTATTATGCCAAGTTTCTCTCATTCAGGTCAGTCAGTTGTATTATGCCAAGTTTCTCTCATTCAGGTCAGTCAGTTGTATTATGCCAAGTTTCTCTCATTCAGGTCAGTCAGTTGTATCATGCCAAGTTTCTCTCATTCAGGTCAGTCAGTTGTATTATGCCAAGTTTCTCTCATTCAGGTCAGTCAGTTGTATCATGCCAAGTTTCTCTCATTCAGGTCAGTCAGTTGTATCATGCCAAGTTTCTCTCATTCAGGTCAGTCAGTTGTATCATGCCAAGTTTCTCTCATTCAGGTCAGTCAGTTGTATTATGCCAAGTTTCTCTCATTCGGGTCAGTCAGTTGTATCATGCCAAGTTTCTGTCATTCAGGTCAGTCAGTTGTATTATGCCAAGTTTCTCTCATTCCGGTCAGTCAGTTGTATCATGCCAAGTTTCTCTCATTCAGGTCAGTCAGTTGTATTATGCCAAGTTTCTCTCATTCAGGTCAGTCAGTTGTATCATGCCAAGTTTCTCTCATTCAGGTCAGTCAGTTGTATCATGCCAAGTTTCTCTCATTCAGGTCAGTCAGTTGTATTATGCCAAGTTTCTCTCATTCAGGTCAGTCAGTTGTATCATGCCAAGTTTCTCTCATTCAGGTCTGTCAGTTGTATCATGCCAAGTTTCTCTCATTCAGGTCAGTCAGTTGTATCATGCCAAGTTTCTCTCATTCAGGTCAGTCAGTTGTATCATGCCAAGTTTCTCTCATTCAGGTCAGTCAGTTGTATCATGCCAAGTTTCTCTCATTCAGGTCAGTCAGTTGTATCATGCCAAGTTTCTCTCATTCAGGTCAGTCAGTTGTATCATGCCAAGTTTCTCGCATTCCGGTCAGTCAGTTGTATCATGCCAAGTTTCTCTCATTCAGGTCAGTCAGTTGTATTATGCCAAGTTTCTCTCATTCGGGTCAGTCAGTTGTATCATGCCAAGTTTCTCTCATTCAGGTCAGCCAGTTGTATCATGCCAAGTTTCTCTCATTCAGGTCAGTCAAAAGAAGGACAAGTCGGACCCCATTGTGGATATGGGATTTGCTGGTCACTATCTCCATGGCAACAGTCAGAAGACAGAACACTTTCACAGATTTGTTTCCAAGCTGCCTGGGTGGGCGGTTGATGTGGGTTGGTCATGCACATATGATATGTTCACTCTGTAACCAACTGAGAATTCCGATGCAGGCAACTGCCAAGAATAAAATAACCTTGTATTTGAGTTACTAACTCACCTTGAATACATCAAGAACATTAAGAAGATGGAAAGGAAGGGAAACTTTCAGCAAACATCACATCAATGGATTCCCGAAGTCCAGCTTATCTGGATCTAACCCTTTCAACATTTTCTTTTTGTATCCACTTGTTAGATAATATTCCATACAATATAATAGAAACAGTTATAATATTGACACCTACTTTTGAAATTGCTGGGCTTTTCTTTGCAGAACCATAAGGGTTGATACTGGTTACTCATTTCAGGATGCTATTGAGAACTGTGATATCCCAGTTGGGACACGGTAGTTTCCTCTGCTGAACTACATATAATTACAGCATAATAGCCCTGCTGTCTTGGTAGTCGTACCATCTTACGACACTATGTTACCACAACTTACCTCAGTGGACAACCCTTGGGATACTTTCAAATCTTGGATCAGAGGCCTACGTCTTGTGGAAGAAGTTAGATGGTGATTACGTTCAAATATCTCCTGGAATATTTTGTTTGTTTGGGGATTTGTGAGATGGTTATAGTGCCTCATATTCCCAAATGTGACCTGCATAAATATCTGTAGCCATAACTTGCTTTACTTGTTGAACGTTATGTGTACATAATGAAATATCCCTCAGGTTGTACAGTAATCTTACAATAATTGTTGATATATCCCATGGGATGAACAATAAGTATCACAGCAAATGGATACATATTGGATATTTCCCTTTGAGGTAAACAATCACTGTGTCAACAATTTGATATAATAGTGATATTTCCTTTTGGTTGAACAATAATGTTACACAAACTAATAACAAGTTGATGTTTCCCACAGACTGATCAGTAATATGACAACAAATCAATAACTTGTTTGGAAACTGTTTTTTTATAAGTGAGCATGTGGAAGTCTTTTTATTATGTATTTGTATAAGTTCTTTGAAAATAATTCTATTTTTATCAGTGGATAGTGATTTGTTTCAGGTATTGATGAATATACATGACCTGTTCTTGGAAATTATACTATCTTTACTTTGTTATGTTTAATATATTTATTTTGTCTGTTAAGTTAGCGTTAAAATCAGCAGTATTTCAGCAATAATTTGTCATATGACTAACCTATTGAAATAATTTTATCACTCAATATTTGGCATGTGATATAGAATTATCAAAATTTAAATAATTGAAAGAAACCTGATGCTGACATGCAAACTGTAAATATATATGACTGTTTGTGTTCGTCCTTGTGGTAATCCATAGAACTGGACCAGTCAATGGTAGAATTAAGGTTGTCCTGGGTCTGTAATGTTGACAGCTGCAGTATGTGGCCCTGACCACAACATCTGTAATAGTTTAGCTTTAGGACAAGAACCCATTATACTTTCAGTTCTACCCAAGAACATACTTTCAGTTCTACATTATACTTTCAGTTCTACCCCACAACATCTGTAATAGTTTAGCTTTAGGACAAGAACCCATTATACTTTCAGTTCTACCCCACAACATCTGTAATAGTTTAGCTTTAGGACAAGAACCCATTATACTTTCAGTTCTACCCCACAACATCTGTAATAGTTTAGCTTTAGGACAAGAACCCATTCTACTTTCCGTTCTAAAGTCAACCACTGGGTTGTATAACCCAGGAAGACAGCCAACATATCAAACATTTTCTTTATCTATCACATAACCTATTTGTACATGATTTATTACTTGTTGTTTGCTCATTTTTATATATAAGAGGTTATTTACTTTTTATCATATTTACAAATATAGTTTTAGATAGTGGAAGTTTGTAGCCAAATTTGTCCTTTGCACAAACTGGTTTGTAAACATCATGGTTTCCACAGTATACTGTCACCTGGTTTCCATAGATACGTACCTACAATAATAGCTAAACCACTGTTTTTATACTGTATATTTTTTACTGTTAATATTTACCATATCAGTTGCTCTGTGTAAAAACTGACTGCTAAGCATTTATGTACAGTGTGTACACACTATGAAGAGACTGCTTTGTGTGTGAGGGGGTGATGGGCCTGGGAGACAGAAGTTGGTATTTATTAGTGTTTGTCTTGTGGTGAGTACACCTTGTGGTGAGTACACCTTGTGGTGAGTACACCTTTCTCTGGTGTCTAAGTGTACAGTTTCAGTCCATATTTATATTTGAGCATTTCAATTTTAAATTATTATTTTGTTCAAGTTTTGATGGAAGCAAAGTTCAATTACTTCTACGCATGGAATGGTTTCCAGTTCTTGTGTATCGCTCCATGTGGGTTTACAAGCATATGAACCAAGCGATGTGTGTCAACATCAATGATAGCTGTATACAGCAATACTGATATCTGTATACAACATTGTCCACATTTGTATATGCCATTATCCATATATGTATACAGCAGCATCAGTATACATCAATGATGTTTGTATATAGCATTATAGATAGCATCATGCATTATCAGCGCTGTAGATGACATTGTCACTGTCTAATGCTAACTCATTGATGACTGTACACAGCTTTATATGTATCTATACAGCACTTTGACTGTGTTGAGTATTCTATGATATTTCAGAGTTTGAAAGATGTCTTAACAACATAATCTCAGACTTAACCCATAACTTTGAACTTGCCTGATTTTGCCCAGCATCACTGCCATGTTTTGTCTAGCCACTATTCCATGCTCTAGGTACTTCCATCAGTTGTTGATTTCCTCTACACTGAAGTGGATAAAGGACATTCTATTTTACCATGTGAGTTTATCGTAAATCTTCCTGCAAACATGAGGGGTTTTCTGTAACTTTAAATATTTAACTGATAACAGTTGTATGATTATTATCCCCCTCAACACGTTTTGCGGGGGGTATTAAAATGGACTCCGTCCGTCCGTCCGTCCATGCACATTTGTCTTTTCCGGAGCAGAACTCTAAAACCGTTCAATATGTCTTCACCAAACTTGGCACATAGATAGATCTGGTGGTGTACTGGTGCCTTTTGGTAGTTTTGGAATTGTGAATAAAACATTTTTGGCGTTTCCATGGCAACAAATTTGACTTAGCCTGAAATTGGTGATAGTGCTGCTTTCTGGAGCAGAACTTTAAAAACCTTTCAATACTCTCCTTCCACTTTTCTATATACACACCTAAATATTTGACATAATCATAACTCGTAGACATAATCATGAAGCGTATTTTGCCATTGCGGGGGATATTGATGACTTTGTCTTCTTGTCATGTAATGCCACTGCGATTTAATGTCCCTCCAGGTCAGAGTTTTTATTATCGTTTTTTGTTGGTATTTTTTTTAATTCACTGATCTGTTAAGTATAAACGTGTTGATTCATTATGCATTATTGAGTGTATCCTCCTGGAAAGATGGATGTACTCTGAAGAATTCAGTCTAATACTGCAAGTTAGTCACTCTAACTTCAGTATAATAATAGCAATCATGTACATTATTCATGCACACATATTTATTTCCAGAAGGTGATGCATGACTGTCATTGTATTTGTCACACTGGCCACCTGTAGATTCAATACACTGGTGCCACACCCTCATGTCGGGCCAGGTCAGTCACTGCTGCTAGTGGTTGTGTCATCTGAAGGCATGGTCCAGTCTTCTTGTGATAGTCAGTTTCCTCTCAGTATCGGAGAAGCCGTTTTTGCTGTGCAGAAACTTGTTCATTTTAAGGACACAGTTTGTTTTCTTTGATGGGCATTTTAGAAGTTCAGGTGATGAAGAACGATAATAATTTTATGGATATACAACTTCTTTATTCTGTAAAAGGCAATGTTTCGACATATTTGTATCAAGAGCATTCACTATGCAGCCTGAATTGATCTGCTGAATTTGAAATATTCTAAAAAAGTAAAAGATTGAAAGTTTAGGGTCTCACATATGAATATGTATGTAACAATACATCTTTCCGCGATATAATACATAGATAAGATCATGTAAATCTGACGTTCTGGCAGATAGACATGTGACAATCCAGTGGAGTGCGTACCTTTAGGACCTCCCAGTCTACTCACTGAAATCCATTCACGACATCATGTCGGTTCTAACCAATTGTGTCTGTAGTGTGTATTGACGTAACGTCTGCTACTTGAAGTCACGATGAAACCTTTTTGGCAGCTGCTCAAAGACTTTCAGATCTTTAGTGTGTGCCCCTGAATACTGCTGCACATTGCCCCGACTTCATCTGGGCATACCACTGTTCCAGGGCTTTCAGGTCCTATCTGTGTATCCCCACATACTGCTGCTTGTTGACCAAACTAGAGTGCTTTCATGTGTGCATCATACATCTACTACACATGGAAGGTAATCATGGCCACTTCAAAAAGTCCATGTTTATCACTGCTTTTGTAACCAGTATTGTATATGTAGGACAAATACGGTATGTTAGAAGATATAACTTAAAATCTCTAATTAGGTTGATATGCAGGTACTATAAAATCAATCTAAAACAAAGTTTGCTCAATATTCTGTGGTATTTTGTAAAAACAAACAAGACTATATTCTCATGTGGCCTATTGGCAGTCAGATTAATTAGTACAGATGTAATTATTTGGCTCAACTGAAATGGCTCCGGTGATCTCATGGAGAGCTCAAATGTATATTTTAAATTGATATCTAATACACTGTTTTCAAAAGAAAGGGCTTGCTTCAGGCACAGGGCATATCCTGAGCTTCCTGCTGTTTTCTGTACACTCGTATACTTCAATGATAATTATATATACTGTTATTCACATATTTTAACTGTAGCCTTTTGGGACAACACCCAGTCAGAGCATGTAATGTAGGTGTCTCCAATCTGTTGAATTCCATTGAGTGACTACTTTGTCCCTGTTGGTATTAACAGTTGTGACAGCCTGCTAATTTAACCATATTTGTTGAATGGTAGGATAAGATTAACTTTAACAGAGCAGCCTAAAATGTCAGAATATTTACCTTAGAGCTATAATGTACCTGATGTAGTTGTGGTTCAACATCAAGGCAACCTTATTCCTAAGGTGATCACAACTCCCATACCTTAACATACAACTATACAGCTGATGTAGCAGTAGGTTTGTTTTCTACAGTCACACCATTTTTTAAGATTTCCAGTCTTTACATCCAGCTCAGTGAAACATTTCTATCATTCCTTGAACTATTGATGGAGGAGAAGATCCCGGTGAAATCCTCATGAAGTGCACCATGTCTGGTGTGAAGGCATCCTGAGCTGTCTGGGCTGATGTACAGTGTTCTGAGAGACATGGGCATCATCATGCTCTCGTGTTGTTGGTATTACATGCAATATGGCTTATTACATAATTACATAGCTCTATGCAATCATCACTACAGGGATATTTTTCTTACCAAAGTTGCACAATTGCCTATCACTGTTTTTGGTTATTGTGCTGATGTAACCATGCAATGTTGTGTTGACATATGCCAATACCTATAGTAGGAAAGCTACAAGGATGTGTATGCATTTAATTGTTGGAACTGTTTTTCACAATATCAATGGCTAGCATAACACTAAGAAAGTGACTGAACTGATAGAAATGACAGTGTGACTGGTTATCTGAAGCGTGACCAGGGCAAGGAAGTGACTGGTAACACTGTTGTATTAGGTGCTTTGTTGATTTCTTTTAACTTCTTTCAGCCACACATTTGAATGAGATATCTTTATACCTCAGCAAATTTTGTCACAGAAGTTTGATCAGGTCAATGCTTACCACAGAAACACTGATGTTTGACAGGGACAATAACATGCTTACCATAGAAACACTGATGTTTGACAGGGACAATGAAACATGCTTTTGACCAATAGAAACAAACTGATGTTTGACAGGGACAATAACATGCTTACCACAGAAACACTGATGTTTGACAGGGACAATAACATGCTTACCACAGAAACACTGATGTTTGACAGGGACAATAACATGCTTACTTGTAAAAACACTGATGTTTGACAGGGACAATAACATGCTTACCACAGAAACACTGATGTTTGACAGGGACAATAACATGCTTACCACAGAAACACTGATGTTTGACAGGGACAATAACATGCTTACCACAGAAACACTGATGTTTGACAGGGACAATAACAGCTTACCACAGAAACACTGATAACAATAACATGCTTACCACAGAAACACTGATGTTTGACAGGGACAATAACATGCTTACCATGTAAAACAATAACACTTACCATAGATGTGTTTGACAGGGACAATAACATGCTTACCATAGAAACACTGATGTTTGACAGGGACAATAACATGCTTACCACAGAAACACTGATGTTTGACAGGGACAATAACATGCTTACCACAGAAACACTGATGTTTGACAGGGACAATAACATGCTTACCATAGAAACACTGATGTTTGACAGGGACAATAACATGCTTACCACAGAAACACTGATGTTTGACAGGGACAATAACATGCTTACCATGGAAACACTGATGTTTGACAGGGACAATAACATGCTTACCATAGAAACACTGATGTTTGACGGACAATAACATGGTTACCATGGAAACACTGATGTTTGTTTGCAATGACAATGCCGATATAGTTGTTAAGAACCTCTGGTGCCACACATGTAACATTCACGGACAGACTGCGGTCTACCACAACATGTGGGTATCTTACAATGACCTCCTGCCTTATGAGGAAACTCAGAGCACCCAGGTGCCAGGCACACTGTCCAGTTGTATGGTTGTAGGCCATTGCAAGAGATATGTTTCTATCTTCTTATGTTTCTATCTTCTTATGTTTCATTGTATGCATTTATGATGTGCTTTTACAAGTTGTTTTTGTAGATTTTGTCAATATTGTGTGCAGGATGCTGTGAAAGTTGCTTATAGACGTTGTTGTTCATGAAAGTTTTACATACATGACATACTTGCTCATGATGCCTCTTTCTGTCACTGGCAGATACAAGAATAATATATCAGGTGTAATCTAGGTTTCTGGAATACAGGAGACGTTTCATGCAGCTTAGTCCATTTCACTGACTGTTTGCCTTGAGCAAAATGATTGTGATGATAATAATGAAAATGATGCAATCATTATTACATTCTGCATTCCCAACATGCTCCTACCCTTGGGTGTATTCCCAACATACATCTACATTCGGGTGTATTCCCAACATACACTTACAGTAGGGTGTATTCCCAACATGCATCTCATTTGAGTGTATTCACAACATACACTTACAGTAAGGTGTATTCTCAACATACACTAGGGGTGTATTCCCAACATACACTTACACTAGGGTGTATTCCCAATGTACACTTACATGAATGTGTATTCCCAACATGCATCCACCTTTGGGTGTATTCCCAACATAAACTTACACAAGGGTGTATTCCCAACATGCATCTACCCTTGGGTGTATTCCCAACACACTGTTACACCAGGGTGTGTTCACAACCTACACTTACAACAGTATGTATTCCCAATGTACACTTACAACAGTGTGTTTTTTCAACATGCACCAATACCTGTGTTTATTCCCAACATACACTTACGCCAGTGTGCATTTCTGAAACCTAAGACGTAGTTGTGCTTCATGTAAAATACAGGGCCACCAACAGAATTAAGCATGAAAGTTACACCCATGTTCATACAACCTGTTGTAGGGTTATTGTTTCACAATTTACATAAGTGCAGCAGGTATGTAAAATGTAAACAGGCCAGTAACGATTGGCCAGCTAAACTCTGTGTTGTGAACATTGTTAGCATTCCAAGTGATCAGTTTACAAGACTGTCTTACATGTCATGTCAGTGTAAGCTCACCTCAGTAATACATAGTGGAGATGTAGGGTCAACTCGCATAAGACACCTCCATTTAACCAGCCTTTGAAATTCATTTGGTTTATGTTCCAAAGGACTAGTGTAAACCTTGTGGCATTGGTTCTCAGAGTAGTTGCAGTTCCTGCTTAAAGAAGACAAGAATGTTTGATATGTTCACATTTTCTGTCAGATTTATTCATCACAATTTAAGCATTGAGAACTGTTCCAGAATGGTCATGCTAAAATGTTCCTATTCAACAAGGATGACCATCACCGGAGTTTCACTTGTTCTCAACATAATTTTGCTTGTGGACTCTCCAAAGCTGGTTAACTACTAGTCAAAAGCTTGATGGGGTAGTCTAATCCAGTGATCGTAACATGGGCAGATACGTTACGGTTCATTGGTGATGGTGTAGATGTATTAAGTATTGTCTTGTTTGGAATATTTCAATGATGGGCTGTTTGTGAAGGACTGTGTATTATTCTTGTGACTCTTTAAGTGTTTGTGTCATAGTAGTCATCTTGTGTCTGGTAGACAGGAAATATTGGAGAATGTGATAGAAATCCTATCATATGGTGCCAGAAATTATATCCATTGACATGACAAGAACGTGTCAGAATGTCATCGAGAAAGTTTACCTGTTGACATGTAACATGAGAATACCTGAGTACAGATGTTATATCTTTGTAAGAAATTGCATTTTGTAGAAATGTAACTGCATGTATCAACAGGTAACTGTGGGACCAATGTTCCCTTGTCCACAAGGACATGCTGATTGATCATGTGTCAACAGGTAACTGTGGGACCAATGTTCCCTTGTCCACAAGGACATACTGATCGATCATGTGTCAACAGGCAACTGTGGGACCAATGTTCCCTTGTCCACAAAGACATGCTGATCAATCATGTGTCATACCAATGTAGGTTAAACCCCTGTCAGTGACTAGCTTCCGGACACAACTCATCTGGAGATGAAAGGCAAAAGATAACACAAACATTGAATTTTCATGGGTTTGTTTTTGTTTGTCAATGAACCCAGCTAGTGTATAATAGAATTGAAATGGCTGACCCAGGACACAGGCTGGCCAGGTCAAGAGTGCATGTAAGAAAAAAGGAGATTTGGTTTGATGTGGGTTTTGTATCTCAGCTTACCAAGAGCCAAGATCTAGGTAGTGTCTGGAAACGCCTAGGTTTGTGAAGTTGAATTTAACTTATTAGGTCACGAAACAGATTCCATTTCAAAGACAATGTCAACTACAGGTCTGTGACCCATAAGAGTCAAACGTTTAATGTTTATCTTCTGTGTGGATTTACAATACACAGCTTCCGATTGTCTTTCTTCAACTATGTAGTACACAATTCATGTCACTGAATGATTAAAACATTTCTCTGATATTATTGTGTTTTGTCATGATTCTGTTGATCCATCAATGGCCAAGTAGGCCTAGTCGCCAAGGCAATATTCACAGTGCAGAATCCCTATTTGCCATGAGGATATGTCCAAGTTTGCCATCACCATACCCATGCTCATGGATTTCACCAAATTGGTAAACACTTATTGATAAAACTTGAAATATTGTTCAAAGGAACATTTAACCAAGTTCTCTTACTATTGACTCTCTGGTTCATCGTTGTGTCGTGATGTGATCATACATTCCATGCTGGACACAGAAAGTTCCCAATGATGGCAATGCTGTAATAGGCAGCGATTTCAGGCACTGACTGGACTGAACCAAGAGTGTCCCATATGTGTTGTAAATACTGTATGGTATTGAAGCGCCATCACACAGGGCAGCACAGCTCTGTGTTGAACGTACTGTATGGTATTGAAGCGCCATCACACAGGGCAGCACAGCTCTGTGTTGAACGTACTGTATGGTATTGAAGCGCCATCACACAGGGCAGCACAGCTCTGTGTTGAACGTACTGTATGGTTATCTCTGAATTCTGCCATGAGACAGTCACTGTATTCCTGAAACATTGCTGTGACCATGTAAACTTGTAGGTCACTACCGCGGCATAATTGAACACTGGATCGGGTGGTCAGGCTCGCTGACTTGGTTGACACATGTCATCGGTTCCCAATTGCGCAGATCGATGCTCATGCTGTTGATCACTGGATTGTCTAGTCCAGACTCGATTATTTACAGACCGCCGTCATATAGCTGGAATATTGCTGGGTGCGGCGTAAAACTAAACTCACTCATAATTGAACAATAATGCTTTGGTAAAATGGATGCTGGGGCGACTGATTTAAATATCTTCCACCAAAGTTAACCGATGCTGCTATGTATAAGACTTGGGCATGCGTTTAAAGTGGTTCGGGACATCTGCACTGTGAAAGCGAAACATTCCTTGAAGGCGTGGTACCTGCTGTAGCTGAGTACATATATTAGCATGTAAGAAGTTCTTTATGTCGGCATTACAACACCAACTTGTATGGTGAATGTGGAAGATATCAACTTTACATCAATTCTCATTCTGGATACATAGGATACTGGTTCAAACTACTGACATGCTTGAAAAGTGTCTCCCAAAAACATCTCGTAAGATGTTGTTCAATCTAGATAATTTTGGTTGTATAACATGGGCATCAGATATAAGGTATCTGCTCTTTTCATATGGGTTTCGATGTGTGTGGCTTTTCCAGGTTGTTGATATGTTTCGTCAGGAAGTTCTAGAATTATTGAGAAGGAGAGACAATAGGCAGCATACCCATAACGGTATCTCACTACAGGTAATAGAATTATAAAGTAGCCACACTTTATGGATAAGAACTTCGTCGTTATACTGTAATAGCGACGTGGGCGGTGGGGTAGCCTAGTGGTTAAAGCGTTGGCTCGTCACGCCGAAGACCCGGGTTCGAATCCCCACATGGGTACAATGTGTGAAGCCCATTTCTGGTGTCCCCCGCCGTGATGTTGCTGGAATATTGCTAAAAGCGGCGTAAAACCAAACCTCAGTCAGTCAGTGTAATAGCGACGTTTAATGTTGAATTGTCTTGAGCATTTAAGGGTGCTTTACCAGGCATAAAACACACAGGGTGGAAGCGTTGTGCACGCAAAGTGTGAAGTTGCCCCAAAAGCAACTGCCTTTTCCTCGCTGGACAGTGAAAGAAGAACATGTGGCGCAAGAGTAATGGTAAGTTTTCCCTCGCACTTTCATTATTTTGCCATTTGGCAGACAAGTCTAGAAATTTACAGATCTTTTTATAATAGCTTGACACCTTCTCTATTTATTGCAATTGCGCTTTAAGCGAGGGGCACCCTCCTGAGTGTCGAAACAAGATCGCGGAAAATGATCCTTTCAACACAAAATATGACAGCCTCATCAGCAGACACGCCTTTTTTCACTGTCAATTCTTAGATACAGTTGTCTTAGGTCTTCATTCACATTTAGGCTTTAATGCGTCAGTATGTTTTTGGTTATTTGTGTGGATCGAGCTTCGTAGAAAAGGACACATGTCAGATGCTATTATATGTGGCGACTCGGGGCTGGTCAGCGGCATGGAAGAGGAAGCCCTAGGACTTCCCCAACCCTGCCCTCTGACTGCAAGCCCTGATGTCCACCAAGACGTGCCCTTCTTCATCCTTCGCACTCAAGAACTACTTCATGAAGCCATACAGCAGAAGAAGGATGTCCAAGAAGGAGGGACTCTCAAGAGGGAGAAGAATGGTGGAAAATGACTTTGGGATCCTGGCCAATAGATTCAGGTGTCTCTAGGGCAGAAGCCCAATCCTGTGAAAGATATAGTGGAGGCGGCAGTGGACTCTGCACAACCTATTGAGGCTGAGGCATCCACGTATTGCAGCACAATAGGCGGACCATGAGGATGAAAACCACCATGGCATCACAGGGGCATGGAGGACCAGACCAAGTGGACTGACTAGATGTGGATCAACCTCCGCACCTCGCAAATCAGTCATAGCAAATGCGAAGGATCAGAGGGAATTCCTGAAGGCGCAGTTGTTCTCATTTCCAGTACTCGTAACAGATCGTGAGCGTCCGTGCAAAAACGTCAATATTCGTATCTACTTGAATTTACCCGTATCAACTCGTATCTGCTCTTGAGTCATTCGTGTCAGGTTGTTAGCAATGGATACCCGACAGAGCGTCACAGATCGTGGGAGATCGCAACATATCTCAACAGAGCGTGGTGTTTGTCTTGTCCACGATTGATTCCGAACACTACGATTTCTAAGCACGATTAGATCCTATATGTTGTGCTTTGTTATGATGCAATACTATCTGATACGATGATTACGATTGACAATTAATTGTGTTGATCGTAGAAATTTTTTGAACTGTCCAAAATTTTACTACTATCAACAAGATTGCCACAAATGACCTCAAGATCTGATAAGATCTGATAGGATCACCACGATTAGTCCACAATTAAGACCACGATTTCAATCGTGGCGCGAATCGTGGTGGTGTGAACATAGCATTAAGGGATCCATCACAACAACTACCGTTTCAATTGCCAAGTCAGTGAAAAAGGGTATCAACAACTGTGGAATTTCGACAGTTCATGCTCTAAAATCCATGCAACTACATGGACAGTTACTTCAACGTAAACATTCAACTCAATGGACAGTTTCAACACAACTCCATATAAAATGTACAGTTCGATTTTCGACGATAACTGAAAAAATACTGACGCATTAAAGCCTAAACTGTGAACGAAGACCTACAATAACTATATCTAAGAACTGACAGCAAAAAAAGGCGTGTCTGCTGATGAGGTTGTCATATTTCGTGTTGAAACGATCATTTTCCGCGATCTTGTTTGGAGGGTGCCCTCGCTTAACGCTCAATTGCAATAAATAGAGAGGGTGTCGAGCTACTAGAAAAAGATGTGTAAATTTCTAGAGCAGTCTGCCTAATGGCAAAGCCTGATATACTTGCAAAATAATGAAAATGCGAGGAAAACTTACCATTACTCTTGCGCCACATGTTCTTCTTTCACTGTCCAGCGAGGAAATGGCAGTTGCTTTTGGGGCAACGCCACATTTCGCGTGGACAGCCCTTCCGACCTGTGAAACAAGACGTCTCGCTCTGCCACACCTCAAAGCAGGCTCGCTGACTTGGTTGACACATCGGATGCCAGTTGCGCAGATCGATACTCATGCTGTTGATTACTGGATTGTCTGGTCCAGACTTGATTATTTACAGACCGCCGCCATATAGCTGGAATATTGCTGAGTGCGGCGTAAAACTAGACTCACTCACACCTCCAAGCTGACCAGCCGCTGCAACTGATGTGATCTGACTATGTCAAACGGTGTGATGTATATGTCAGCCGTAGTCGACTACTGAGATATTGTGAAGCCTACACATATACACTGTACGGTAGCCTGTGAGACATCAGAGAGTGAAGATTACAAAGAACAGTGACAGTACGGTAGCCTGTGAGACATCAGAGAGTGAAGATTACAGAGAACAGTGACAGTACGGTAGCCTGTGAGACATCAGAGAGTGAAGATTACAAAGAACAGTGACAGTACGGTAGCCTGTGAGACATCAGAGAGTAGACCATTCAGCAGAAAAACGCGCGATTTCGCGTAACTATCAAAGAATTGAAGCGTGTAGTGCTACTCTTACATGTGGTGGCTTAAACACCGACCAACAAAAGGCTACTCAAGCAGATGACCACTACAGTAGCTCTTGCCTCGCCGTATGGTGGGTTGAAACTTGGGTACTTCTTAACCTTTCAATACAAGACTCAGACTCCACTGTTAGTCTTTGATGCCATCTTGTACCATCAACTGTTCCTTGTGCAGTCAACTACCATTGACAGTACTGCTCCTTTCCGGGCATCGGATCACTATCCTGTGATCTCATCATTTCATGACGATACATTTATCACTGAGGATAAGCAAGTTGGAAAGCAGCACGACTCAACGTAACTTGGGAAAGGGTCCGACAATGCACAATGGAATATCTTGTAAAAAACACCTTTTGGTGGGGGTTCATTGGCGGTGTGTTGATGCATCTTACATGACTCTAAACACTACCTTGTGATTAGGCAAATCTGAATGGACAACATCACTGACATCCTAGACAGGACTGTTGTGCCACATTTCCATGACCATCCTTTGAATGCAATTCCAGCCTACATTGGCGATAATGCTAGGCCCCATCGTATACGTGCCGTTTGTGATTTCTCACATCAAGAGGCGGAAGCAGCCCTACCTTGGTCAGCCAGGGCCTAGATTTTCGAAGCTCTCTTTGCGCTTAAAAAGTCATAAGTTAATGTTAATGTATGACACTTACGATTATCTTAGCGCTAAGAGAGCTTCGAAAATCTAGGCACAGGAGTCCAGATTTCAATCCTATAGAACAAGTTTTGGATATAATGGATTGCAGTATACGCCAGAGAGATCTTCCAATAC